TCAGATTAAATCTTAGAGCTTTTAAAAATCTCTAGAACAGTACTTGCTCGTATGGGGTCTTATACCTTGAATTGCCATAAGTGATATCGTAACTTGTATGGCAAGTGTAGGCTTAAATCGTTAACGAGTCTATCATACGTCTGTTTTGCAATAATTTTAGCTTTGTAGAGTCACCTCAGTGGGCTCAAATAGCTCGATATTACTTCGAAATAATAAATATGATTGATTGATTTTTACGCATAAGGTCGCTAAGCTCGCTAGACTTTTTGTCGAAATTTGGTTTGTATCTTATGATATGTCCATTTTCTACTGCAGCTTATCCTCGATCAAGTAATTCGAAGATGTGACAACTTTAGGCCGTGCTCTAGCCGCAGGTGGTGCGGCATGAAGATGGATGTTGCAGTAAACGATATACAGTGGTCTTCTCGGAAATAGCCAGCAAGCAATTAGGGCCATACGGAAAAAATAGCACGTCAGGCAAATCAAAAATTGCCGACGTTTGCGAAGGTGATACTTCAGTCAGAGCTTGCTTCTTTTGAATACAGCAGAGTCTAAATCAATGTTGACTCATGAAAAGTCCTACCATCGAATTTTCGTAGAAGACAGATATCACAGTACAAATCATCTAAGAATTAACGATTTCTTTGGTGGAACTGGAAGAACTGTAACAATTTATTATTCACGATACGTAAACATTTAATTGTGCAGAGCATTTTCGATAGAAGTACGGCCAGTTGGATGTATTACATTATGCGAGTAGTTTCTAAGCTAGGTTTTTTTAATTTGACCTTGTAAACTACAAGCGACAAGCTTCAACTGTGACAGAGTAAACGTATGTTGTTCTCTGTTGATGATACAAGATTAACCAAACATTGTTTATTTCTATAGTTTTATCTGCTTGCTTGCTTGCTTGCTTGTTTGTTTGTATCGTAAGCTCTTGTTAGACGGCGGTCAGCCGGTACATAACTGAGCCTTTTACCGGCAACAACGCAAAGTACTTCGAGGAAACGTACTGTTTATTTGGATACGGGGCACCTGTGATTAATATACGACGGACTATTATATTACTTTACGTATTTTATATCTACATATGAGTAGCCGTACGTTTTTAGGCACAAAATTTGTCCTACTAGTGATAATCTACTAATTTATATTAGCCTAGTAATGTTAACGTAGGCTTTTAGATCATTAAAACCGCCTTCGATATAATGAACTACTTTAAAATAGCCAATTTCGGTATCAGGCGGTCTCATAACTTCTTACTTACTATAATTGTTATTTCTTAGAAGTACGGCAATAAATATATTGATAATGCGCTCGCAAAAGTAACGGTTGAAAACAGCTTGTTCACACAATGCTAAACTATTACTGACTGTTCACTAAGTTCAGCGATCGTTGCTAGCCATCCTATGAAGGTCGTTGTTGGGACAATGGTCGTATTGGATCGTTAAGCACTATAGAAATGTCCAACGCGTAAGTAAAGTCTGGGGAGCAGATATATGTAATATAGCAGATATCCGCGTTCCATCGGTTAAGAATCAGCGTTCTTTTTAAAGTGCTTCTTAAAAAATTACCAATTCTAGAAATTGATCGGTAGTAAATGGTACGTGACTGGTCTACTGGAGGTGTAAGTATCTCGACAAGTTTTGTAGAAGCTTAACAAGGCCATCGTAACAGGTAACGGTAGCAAAGTTAACCCTACCAAAAAAAAAGGCTAACATGCAAGGGTCCATTAGAGTAGATTCAAAATCATCGCTTGAAACATGTACCTTTACATTACTTTACTTTAGGTACGGAAACTGGAAGCATTTATATCTTATTGGTGGACTCAATTTATAAGCAGCCTCATAATTGTTACAACAGCTACCATAAAATACATAGAACGTGACAGATATTGTTCTCCGCGCACCACCCCACTCTAAATGGATCTTCGCTCAAGATGAATTTATCGTCAGCGTATCACAATGCTTCATTGAAGTATCTATGATGATGAGTTTTTTTTTCATTCGCAAGACGGAAGTTGTCCACGAATTTTAGTCAATTACTAAAGGATGCTTCTAGATTGCTTTGAAAATACGTAGTGCTTCATGTATGCGTTCACACGTTTAGTGCCTTCTCAGAGAGCATCTGTCGGCCACTTGTCTCAAGCACTGAAAGCTGATTTGAAACACCGGTCTATGTTAATGATTGCGCTGCTGGAAAATCTTATCAATGGAAGAACCATAGTACAGAGTCTAGAAGGATGTTCATAAAGTAATTTCTAAATTAATAGTATAGTACATACAAATGGACGATACTTGTATAACACTGTGCAGACAAAATTCTATCAGGTATCTAAATTCGACAGATATAGATGCTTGTGATACGATTTCGTTTTCTCTGTTAGTAGTATTTATTTAACCCCATAAGACCTCATCGAGAGACCATATCGACACTCGATTTTGATTGTCGTGTTGACTCCACAAAAAGATTCGAGTTCTAAAAGTCCGAAAAAGAAGAAATAAAATGATTCGCCCGTTTGATCAATCGTCTGTCTCGAACAACGGAAGCTTTCTGGCTTGGAACGGCAAAGACAAATAGTTTTTCATTGTGTTCTACCCAAATTTGTGTAACTTTGTTTAAAATGTATTGCCATACGTTTTCTCTATTGTGGTTTTGCAGTCAGAACAAGCTTGTTCCCTTTAGACAGAGGTCTTAGCTCGCATAATTTGCAACGGGTTGAGGACCGAGTATTTCTGCGATGACAGATGACTTCATTTTAATAACACGATAAAACATTAACTGCGCCTTTCGCATCTGAGACACAGAGATGGAAGTAGCTTGCTAATGGAAACTAAAAAGAGTAGGGCTTCTAATTCATTTCACATGCAGGCTCCAAGCAACGTGCTTTTCCATATACTACGTCCTAGATACTATTTTTTTATACTTGATTCGCATGATAATATTGATTAATTTTAGGCTCAGGACTAAGACCTGCGTTCAGAAGCTTCATTTCTGAAAAACTATTTTTTCCTATGTATACTTTTTTTTGCGAGACTACTAGCGAATTTTAATAAGAGTCTACTGTAACGGCTGTTAAGCCAGAGGCTATCGAAGAGGGAGAAACCAACGAAGATCAAATTGTTTATGGAAACATTTAAGCATTCATTAGTTGAAGTGGGTATCTTGGCGAAATAAAGCGTTAACATAATTCATCTTTTTTTTTTCGTCGATTCTTACATCATTATTTGCAGTGTGATCACGAAATAGTAATGGGGGTCTAGTTGGGTCGGGCTGACTGTGGGTTCCGCCGGCTGTCGATCGTTGAAATAACAACTGCTCGTAGGGGCCTTCGGCATTCGCTTCGACCGTCCCTTTTTGGCAGACTGCATTGTACTGTTACTACAACAGCAGTTTACTGTGGCAAGACAAAGAAAACACTAAAATACGAAAAATGATACATACAGAAAGTAGTACATTCAAACGACACCCACGTTTCTCTTTGCCTGTCGAGCAATTTTTCATACGTACATGTATTGCTGCGTACCTGTCAAGTGCGCACAGAATGATTCCCGCATGTAAAAGGAAATCAATGACATTACACGATTTTTATATTGTGATACATGTGCTTAGTTGCAGCATATAGTTAGACAGAGGCGTGCGATCAAATCGTTGGATAGTGACGGCCGTCTTTCGGGCACGAATACTCGTATGCGTAGTAACAAGTGCTCGCTTACGCACTAGCGAACACCTAGGTAGATATCTTCACATACTAAATCCTGGTTTAATATGTGTGATTCTCTTTTGGAACATATACAAGTAAAGGTTAGTTCGGCTGCAAGCACATTGGTGCTTCTTTTCTTCGCTACCGGGGTCTTACACTGGTAAAAGCTGTTGTACGGATTTACCGATCATCCCAAGCTTCCTTATTCATACTGCACAAACATATCTTTGACGCAAACGAAAACCGTTCTAGTCGATCATAGAAAGATTGATGTCATCCTTTGGGCTAGATACATATAATAGACTCCTTTTTTTTTGCTAGCCGCACAGAACTCGGTCAAAACGATTCTTAAGCATTAATCATATCACAAGCAAGTCAGTAAGACTCGAATGATCGAGTCGACTCTAATTGGGTTAACAACAACAATACATATATATATTCGTTTTTATCGTTCTTGTGTATCAACGGCCTGCTCATCTGTGAGATTTTCCTCTGATAGAATCCGCTTGACGCGGTACGGCAGACATAATCAAGACAGAGCAAAGTAAGTGCATGGCTATACTTTAGGCGTAAATGATGAGTGGCCTTATAACTACTATGGTTAGATAATGATAGTGATGGTGTTAATAATTTATCGTCTAACCTAATGGTTGCATGAGTTTCTCGAATCAGCCGCCCGCAAGAGCAATTGATTGGTAACAGCAAATCTCGATTTCCACGACCTGTATCTATTTAATTAAGCTTCGGGAAACCAGTTGAACGATCCTCAACTAACAACAATGACACGATATCGATTCCAATGGATATCGGTTCGTCGAATCATCGTTTTTTCATTGGCTATAGCCCCGTTTTAATGAAACGATGTGCATGAATTTATTACATCATTTCAGTTTGCCCAGCTTTATGTTTCTAAACGCGTGTCATTGTTGACTTAGCACCGTAGGGCAAAGATAGACGTAACATACATCGTCCAGCTCCTTGTGGGATTCGGCTGTAATGCGTGTCGCAGTGGCGTTGTTGTCGGCGTCCAGCAGACGATTTCTAGGACGCGCTATATTGTGCGAAACTAATAGCTGACTGTTTCGCGCTCAGTTAAATCAGTAGAAGTTGAATCACTAAATATTCTAAATTGTACCTAGTCTAGTAATAAGAATTATAGTGATCTACTCTTACATAAACTGTTTATATTTATATAGACGATCGCCATCTTTGTTGACCTTCACAATGTGCTTCAAGCAGCTAACATAATACTCTTGTTCTTTGTAGTTTGCCATGAGTTCAAAAATGCTTCCGGCAAAATACTAAGAGATTTTGCCGAACTTTGAATAAATATAAATACGTCGTATGATTCCAATAAGAGTGATGCGTAATATTGAATAGTAGTATGTTTTGAAAACTAAAATTGAAAGCTCATGCTAGCTTTTTTTAGCCTTTATTGACCGCTTTGTTTCATTACCTATTTAAGTTAAGCCTATCTATTTCCGAGAATTCTACACGTGTGTACAACGTGGACTCCTCGTGTATGTCATACTAGCACAAAGGGATACTCTATAGTAAATTCACACTTGAAATATAATTGATGTTACTCAGTTCTCGTTGCGTTTTGACACAGGTCCTATTAACTACGGTGTAATTCAGACGTGGTCCTTTAATCGGACTATATTGCTCCATACTCACGTAATCGGCTTCACTTTTTTGCTGCTTCACTGGAGTGGTCAATCGGCATTGTTATGCGTTTGAAAATATTTCTTGTATACATACTTGTCAAGAGGAAACCAGCACAAAAATGTGATACCCATAACTCCTCTATTAATCAATCAGTATATAGACAATGTCATGTTAGACTGAGCTCCTGTTGGTTTTTTGGCCGGATCTAAAAGGAAAACAGACTACATCTACAACTGTTGTAATAGGGTTCTTGAAACGCAACAATCGAACTACTTTTGATTCTCTATTAGATTGTTAATACTAATAGCCGAATTTATTCAAGATTTTTCTAGCTAAATATTTCTGTTAAATATTAACAAACCGTATGTTTGCTGAAATGTTATTGTACTATTAGTCAATGTTGAAGTCCTGTCGCATGCGTCAATTTACAGTCATCTGTAACCCCATCATAACGGGGCAATCTGTCAGAAAAACAATTGCAGGAATCAATACAAAAATGATGGTTAGATATACATTAAGCTAGGTGTAAAGAGGAACAAGACAGAATATTTTGAGTACCAGAATGTTTTTCGACTTGAGTTGGGTATGCTTGTAAGTTAGGAACTAAATTAACACGACTATACTAATTCTTAAGTGCGCCCTAGGATATCTGAAGACGTCACATGTATGTACTCTTGCCAATGATGACAACTAACGACAAATTCGATCTAGAAGTTCGCCTGCGATCACCGTAACTCGTTGCTAAATCAAATACTAACGGCGGTTAGTATTTGTGAGTCTCTTTAATTTGGGTTTGTCTATTGTTGACAAGTTAGAAGTTTATCCTGTCTTACAGCAGGAACATATATGAATGTTAATCGACGCCATTAAGTTAGCAATCGTCTAGTAATCTAATGTATCATGATAACGTTACAATAAATGTATCTGATGATATTATCCTCAAATGCTCAAGTCATCTCGTCTCTAAACACTAGAAGAGGGTAAAATGTATGGATTTATATAATGTTCAACAATAGATATGTGCCGATATATTGAAAAATGTATTTTTTTTTAGTTTTCATAGTTCATTATAGTTTTCATTTTACTAATAGTAATAGCGTCTCATATCGTCTTAGCAAGAAATACATACTGTACCATCTTTATATATTTTATATAGTCCCAGTGATAATAATCATCATGCAATTGTTATTCCGAGCACATGCGTAATGTTCGTTAGCTATGCTTAGTTTGTAAGAAAAAAAAAGGTTGTAATTTAAAAAAATCGTTATTATATGAAAATCAAGATTTTTTTGCATATGTGAGAATTGGATTTTCTGTTCAAGTTCCATTCAGTTTATATTGTTTCTTGTTTATTATGTTTATATTGAAATTAAGTTAAACTACGTTAACGAAGGTGTATTTTCGCAAATATTTTTTTCCTCTGTTTAATGAAGCTCGGATAGGACAAAATCTCGAAAGCAATCTGAGGCGAGTCATCAACAAGAGACAAAAAGGATGAATAAGATAACTGTAATTGAATTGTGCTCTTTCGGTGTTGAGAAACATGTTACTCTATCTGAAAGTCAAGGTAATTCGTCGTAGTTATTATAAGATATTACGATGGTACCTTAAGCTATCGGCTAGCGAAACGTTTATCAATTTATTAATATATTCAATTCAAAATTAGCCAGATTATTAACAAATTCAGTTATTATATTGTATTGCTTACTCCCTCTAGCTTAAATCCAACCGTTGCTTTGAAATATGTTTAACCATTTCCAGGGTTTCTCAGTTTATAAAAAAAAAATAAACCAAAAAGTATTAGAGATCACTTAGTATTGAGCATTATATTTCAACCGATGAATCAGAAAATAACAAAGTTGTCAGCTGTTGTTACTACTACTACTACTACTACTACTACTACTACTACTACTACGTCTGTAGTAAATCTTCCAAATTCTTCTAATTTGAATCGGCTAAAACACAATGGTGAACTTGCGCGAATATTTCAGCTTTGACTGGGCACAAATATACTTACACGCGGGACTAAAATGATTGATTACGCATAGCTTAAAGTAGTATTCAGACGCTAGAGGTGACCAGCTTATCGATGTTAGTCTTCTGAGATGAACTGTATAAAATGCAAGCATTTTTCCATGCTAGACATTCATATTGTACATTTTATGTATAATATGAATATATAGCCTTGTGATAATATGAATCTCAAAACTAAATGGGCCTGCGATGCCATCTCTCTAATGTATCACTACTACCAAAAGTAAATCCATAGACAGGTAATAGGAACATGTTTAAATTATAGGCAACAAAATTAAGAAAAAAAAAAATAACCTAAAATGTTATGCAAGATCAGGTTTACATTTGATTAATAGCTAAGCCTTAAAATAAAGCTTTACCTAATGAATCTTTTAGTTCAATACGTACTGATACCATGCCTGTTTTGCTCTGAATTCGTTATATTTATTGAGGTTTAATCATTAGCGGGCATTTTATGTTTTATAAAATTTGATTACGATGATAACATACACATTAAATGAGCGAACGTGTTAGCCGTTAGGCTGAACGGGTGAACAGAGCAGTAAGTACTAAAGCAAAAGGTCTTGAGCGTTGCTACAGGATAGCCTCACCGTTAACACTAGTTTTGCACAAGTTGTTTAACCACAAAAACTTGTAGAATTTAGAGTACTGAGTAGATCGGTATTAAGGAAAATGATGAAAGTATGGGATGGGGAGTCATGCGGACATGATCATATTCTGCATACGGCCACGTATATCAATTTGCTGAACCAAAGATCGTCAATAAAACTTGTTCTTATGCCAATCACCGGCGGTTGCTGACACGACACAGGCCTTCCACGATGCGTCACGGCACGCCGCGGTGAAATTATAATTATTATATTATTAATCAGTATCTATAATTATTGTAAATTATATTACGAGTTGGCTGGTTTCTTTACATTACACATTAACATACATTAGTATGTTTAACTTGTAAAGACGGCACCAGATGGCAGCACTGGGATGAGATTATACGATAACTCCACCGATCCGATCTTCTTCTTTGAGAACCTCGTAATAGCTTCGCACAATAACGATATAAATGATCTGAAACCAACACAATTAAAGACGATATGAACGAAACGAGGTTTTTCGACCTGGTGAAAGAACTGTGCCAGTAATGTCACACACGGCTAGTTCCCCGTTAACCACTCCATCTTTGCGTTATTCCAGTATTGAAACACACGTGTATCACAATAAAAACTCTCTATAGTAAAATAATCGGAAGGGCAACTCAACGACAATAAGCTGATTATGAAATGGCATCGTATGAAAAGTAGAAAATTGTATTTACACAGCATTTTATCCCACAACGATAATGATACAGATGCTCCGCCTGAACTAATTTAACTGGGGCTAATTTCGTAGGCTTCTTTGCCATAGCGAGCATCCGTTAATTTGCTATTTTAGGAGCTAGACAAAATCTTTCTTTCTACGAGATAAAGTGGAAGATACTAAAAATACTAAATTGAAATCGCTCAATCACGATGCCACACAGTATCGTTTCTGATGCTCACGGATTTTTCAACAATTCGCCATTTAAGCTCTTTTGTGACTTTACGACTTTCCGAATGTTTGAAAGCTTCGTACCTCGAGGGGTTTTGACCTCCCGTCAATCCCAAATTCAGTGTTAATGGATTATTTTTTTCACTGCTCGCGCCGGAGCGACACTTGCCAATATCGCTTGATGCACGGGTACAATTAAAAAGTTATTCGCGGATCAGAGAGGAATATTTTCAAATAAATATAACTGATGAGTGGTCTAGGTTTCGAATAGGAATTGTAAACTTGGTGAACGAAGGTTATATCAAGTAAATATTATGGCCAAATTGACGCTATAACTTTTTTAAAATCTGTTTTTTTTTTGTTTTTAAAAAACAATTCATACGAAAAAAACATCCAGGCCTATAAAGGGCAAATATCACAGATCAGCTAAGGTTTGCTATTGCATAATCAAATAGAATCTTTGAATTTGTAAAGAAAATGCATTGATTAAAACTCTTGTTGTGAAATATTTCGCTTTCAGGTCGCCCATATCGAAAACGCAACCGCAATGATGCGTAAGACATGAACGTGTTTGACTGTGCCTGACCGTGTTTGAAGTTCTTTAAATGCTAAATGATTCGAGAGATAATATCCGTGCGTATATTTCTAAAAATATCAATGTGATGACAAAGCCGTACGGGGTAGGGTCAAGTCCTCGGCGATTTGAAAATTATATATATATATATATATATATATATATATATAACTTGCCCATTTTGGTAGCTGTATAGGACAAGCTATACAAAATAAAATGCAGGTACACTGCAAGACGGCTCAGATAAACTGTGAGCTCAGTATTCCAACCGTCTGAATATCTGCTTTATATTTTTCGACAAAATTTTATAACAAATTACAATAAAAGAATCCATTAAGCGGCAGGCCATCTTTATCGGAACAAGTGTATTGGTTGTATCTACTTTAGATAAAAGATTCCATTTTGGAAGAGAGGCATTTGCCTTTGTCGTTTCGTCACTATTTTACTATGCTATATTTAAGGTCCCATTTAATTCCTGACCGTTCTTATTATCGTCCATTATTACTCTGGGACTTTCGTGTTGTGTGCATTGGTTGTTGTAGTAGTCAAGATTACCGGGTATCGCTATCGGTCATTGCAAAGTTACAGTATCTAAAACCTCTTGAACAACAGCGTTATCTGAAATTATTTCGACATGCCAACGCTTCTTCTAAAGTACACTGTAAAATGTTTTTTTTTTCATCTAATGTAGCGCCATCATCCCCTAGATAAGTAGCCTTAAACTAAATGATCATCATTAATTCCTTTGTTCCATAAATGCATACTTCAGCAGGACCTTTTTGAGAAGAGAGATAAAGTACTCACCAGAACGATTACGTTGCCCGCTGAAAGAAGGATGCCACTTCCCAGATGCTGAAATTAAAAAGAAAAGGAGCGTCGTCGTATCACTTGTCTTGTTAATACGGCAATCTGGGACCATAACTCTATTAAGCTCTTTTCCTAAGGGCACTTATAAACTCCAACTCTAAAAATATTTCATATTGAACAGCATTTTTGAATTTACCGTAATTTATGGTTCGAGCTAGACCTACTACAAGACCAGGGCAGTAAATAGAATCATTATAGTCCTTCTTAGAATAACTATGGTCCTGTTTATGTTTACCTATCATGTTAATGACGTTTTGTCCTTTTTGTTTTTTTTTTTTCTATTTCTGTTTGCTTTTAAATGCTCTTGAATTTAATAGATGATAGTTCTAATCGAGTCTAATTGCCTAAATATGAGCTGGTATTCGCTACAGCATACTCTAATATTTTGTCATACTTTGTAACTGAAAAGACTTCTTCGAAGGTAAATCAGAATTTAAAAAAAGGAAAAAGAAAGCTGTGAATCTCTTTAGAAATTCGGAAATTCTATGTTGAAAACAGCCAAATAGAGGCCCACAGTTTACTGAGCTATACTTTGCTTATCACACGGTTCACGTACTAAGCCCGAGCTAGCAAACATATCTATCGGTCACTGATACTCACTCCGTATTTCGAGCCGTCGATCCAAGCGTATAGGTAGAACATGACATAAATAATTTCTTTGATTACCATTACGACGGCTACACCAATCCAGGGAATAAATAACTGACGCCGGTACTGAAAACAACGTAACGTTCGCACTTGGCCTGTTTAATTTTTGGGCTGATGACGTAACGTATCTCTACAACAGTTATTCTACGCGTTAAACGGACACACGTGCAACATTAGTAATCTTTTTACTACAAATATATTTAGGCATATGTAGCAAAGTTTGCAATACGCTGCAATACAAGCACGAAAACCTAAATACAATGCAGATAGGACGTCTTAAAGCAGAAACTTTTCTTTACCAGAATAATGCCGATGAGGAAGATGACGTTGACGATAATGAAGGCACAATCAACTATCATACCGAAAACGGCGCCCGTATACGAGACTGTCAAATTGAACATTTCAATGAAAAACACACGTTTTTAGCTTGTGATATAAAGTTCCCAGTTAACTTATATCCGCTGAAGCATGAGATGAGCATCAGTGATTAAATTCTAATTCACCAATCACCATGTCATACACTGCAGGGCCGGATAGGACTACGTCACCTGATCGCTGCAAGCGATATACGTTACTGTTGTGTAGAAAGTGTTTACAATTGACTTCTTTCAATCTACCAACATAGATAAATAATGCAGTGTTCCCTTTAGCCTGAACTGAAACTTTGCTGAGTTGTATGTCTTTAATTCTTTCCAAAAAAACGAGCACACGGAATTACAGCTCTAGCTTCCAAATATAGCTATAATTATAAGAACACATTTTATCTCTATAGCCTTTGGCGAACGTCAAGCAAAACGTGTCATACACAGCAGGGTTTTAATGCCTAATACCGCTCCAAACAGGTTGACTGGTCCAGGACTGGAATCCTGGACTGGACAAACGTTCCCCACCCTGGTTGATATTTTTAAATAGAATCGCTACCGGTAAACTGTGAATTAACCGAAAAGATGGCCAGCACCTATTACGGGTGTCGTTAGGCAGCTACATTGAACGGGGTGTACAAACCCTATCAGTTGTCGTTTTGTCTATCAAGCAGCCTTTTTCGAAAGAGCTTCAGAACAGTTCTAGACAGGTCGACCGAACCCTTTCTGGGTTCGAAAAACCTACTTTAGACTCAGCAAACCGTATTCGACCACTTTTTCCGGATAAAAGTCCCTGCTGCGCACGGCACATATGCTCTTTGAAGTTGTTGGAACTCAAGGAAGATCAAAGTTCACTTTTTTCCCCATTTATGTTTTTTCACGTTTGAACTAGGGTTAAACTTCATTGACCACAGAGCTAGATTGCAACAACTATGCGAAACAAAGAAAATGTCTTCAAGTGATATTTCCGATTGCTTCACGAGTCGATATTGGAAAGAAAAGTAATCGAAACAAAGTGCGACGACAGCAGCTGGAACATGTGTATTTCTGGCCTTTTTTTTTTTTTTTTTTTTTGAAATTAATAGACATATTGCTTCGCACGCTTGTACGTTGTCAAATGTGTTTATACGAACTGCCTGTTTTCGAGTACGTTCCTTTGACGTTACTGATTTCCATAATATCACCATACTGGACAATTTGCCAGAGGTACAGCGTCTGTAAAATAAAGTCAAAAAATACATTAATTAGAGCTAAAATATTCGCAAGTAAGTATTAGGTTCTAGTGCACTTAATCATTCAGTCACAGTGCGCAGGAAGATGACGGAAGTATATACGATTAAAATTAACAACGCATTTCAGATTTTGTATAGCCTACATTTTATCGTATTTTCCAAAATAGTACTAGCATATTTTATTCGTTTCTTAATTTATCAACCAAGGACTATTGATTTGGCACCGTAATGGCCTACTTTAAAAAGGGGTGATTCGAATAATATTCATATGGGTACAGCTTATGCTATCTAGGGACATCTTAGCTGAGTCTGACTAAGATAAACACAGAATGATGAACGCACAATGCACGAAATGGCTATCATCACACAGGAGGCCCTTAGGCTGCAGCAAAGGCAGACTTTGGTTACACGAACGGCCATTTTTGTGATGAACGATTAGCTCTCTGTGGTTGTTGTTATTGTTGTCTCGAGAAGATCAATGATTGATGATGGTGAGGCCCAGTCCAGCTGAAGCTATCCAGAGAGTATATATAGAAAAAAATTCCCGCAAGAATCAACAAATGCGAAGACGTTACTAACAGGAAAAAAAAGGCAGAATCACAAGGAAAAGAGATACATATACCTACGTAAGGTATGGGAAAAACTGTTCAACGAAGATGTTGTCCGTGTTACATGATCCAAAATCCGTCTTATTCTATTTGGTTGTATCGTGTTCAATAACACGAAGATTCATGCAGTTCTTGCAATCTAATCGGATCTTTTCTAGTTCAATTTTAAAAACATAAAACAACGAATTATTAAGGTTGTCAAATTATAACATTTCGCAATTGCCACATTACCATGGTCATCACCTCTCCAATTGTTGAAGTGCTTGCGCTTCATAAGTTTGCCTTTATTTATTAAAACAAATTATTTTTACCTATCGATGCTTACCAGCTGCCTAAGGGCAACCATTGCTGACCCGAACTTCAATACGACATCGCGAAATACCTAGATCACTATATAATACAGTTCGCTTTAGAGCACAAGAAGATCAAGGCAATCCCAATGTTTCTTCATATGCTTATTTAATTTCAATTTGAAGAGCTGGGCTGAGCCTAGGTAAGAGAATCATCACAAGACAAGAAAACGCAATTGAAATTAGGGCTAACCCTACACCGAAAAGCAACCCCGTAGCAAACACGTTTTTTTGAGCATACATAATTGTTCCCGCAAATTATTCTCTATGAAGAGCTCGTAGTTTCTTAGGCAAAGACTACATGCTTGGCTTTAAAACGTTATTCAATCGCGTTTTTGTTTAAGATACTTTCCTTAAGTACCCCGATTAAAGCACTAATTGCACTGGGTCCCCTAAGATCATAAGCTTACTGGCTTGGCTGTTATGTTTTTCGAGATTTCTATTCGTTTTTTGTCATAGAAAAACCTCTCAAAGTCATTTTATTTATTTCGAATCTCTTTTTTTTTCCAAAACTTATGCTAAACATGCACTCGGAATTGTTAGGAGATGTTAATCCAACGTTATCTCAAACTGCATTTACTACAAAATTCTTATTTGGGCTACATGCGACAACTCTTTTCTATGTTCAACCAAAAAGAAATAACAATCCATATCGAAATCTGTAAAAGCCTCATTTATTACAAACTTACTTTCTGTTTGAAACATTTCACTCCTTTCAAGTTTTGTCGACCTTTATATGATTCGAATAAGCTCATTATAATCAATGTTTAATAATGAATAAGCGTTTTAACATAATAATGGATAAAGAAAATCCCAGAGAGCTTGAAAAATATCAACAAAGAGGAAAAATCACAAGATTTTTGTGAAAATATGTTTTTAGGAACGTATCAAATTCTATATTTTTGGGGTTTTGGCAGGCTTTTATATGTACTGATCTATTAAAAAAAAAAATTCCAAATGTTAACGTTGACTCCAATACAATAGATAGAAGGGCCTTAGGTTCAATATAGTTTGTAGCATGGCGGAGAACCAGTTGGTGTGGTTTCGTAGTAGGCGTTTCGAGGTAATCTTTCGCAAATCTTAACAATGTCTTAACGGTATCCTCCGTGGTAGGTTACTATGGCCTACAATATAATTACAGAAGCAAAGTAGCCCGTTAGGTAATGAGTACAACAAACGAAGTGAACGTAGCCAGCACTTTTGTAGGTAGGTACTCGAGCATGAGCTGTCTTTTTTAGCGCACGATTTCAATATGCTTATATAATTTTTACAAATTTTTAGAAAAAAAAAAACATTCCTTTCCAACGACAGGCAAAAATATGAGTGGATGCAATTGCTAAGGACCCGAAATATAGTTTAGGACAAGAAGCTAGATTCTAAACAACCATTTCCAAATTTGTCGCAAATTGATAAACATAGTATAAATTTAGTTTTACAGCATGAAAAAATGATGAGGACAATGATGGGAACAAAATGCAACAAAAAACGCAGACAAAAAAAGGCAGACCAACTAGTCGTTTTTTGCTAATGCTGAATGCATTTTACACCTTCGATACTTTTCACAGACAGATGTAGGCCAAAAGATTCTTGTTCCTGCATTCGTGGAAATGTCGAGATTCAAAGTAGCTATATTAGTCCTTTTTTGTATCAGTTGCACATTGGAGATGTCAAAATCTAGTAGCTTTGTATCATTTACGACAACGAACGTACGGCTATGATATAAAACATGATCATTGTCCCATCAGACACATGACATTCTATCAATTCATTCTGGTTAAAGAGAACATGTAAAAAAAAACCGCAAAGATTTGCGGCGCTGTGTGAACAAAGTTATAAACCTCAGGAAATTTACACGAGGCTTCATGAACTTTTCCTAAAAACTGATGACCTAGTACTGAAGGTTGCAGAAAACGAAAGCATTGAAGGGACCTCATAAACTCACTTAAATTTATGGGTTAATGTGAAGATCTCGGTTGGGCAATGTGGTCATTTGCTAAAATCCCAAAAACTAAACTATGCTGTAATACTTATTTTCTAGTAACCATCTGAGATCAATGTAGTTCCTAAATTCCTGAGAATGAGATCCGACTTACTCTCAAGGCGAAGTACAAATAATACCATCCGAGCGCATCTGCACAATTACACGATCATAAACCGAAAGGCGGAATGGCATCAATTCTTCGTGTTTGCATCGGATAGATAGTTTTACAATTACTTAGTTGATGTATGCGCTAGCAAAAAAAAATACGTGCCACTGGGGTCAAATACTTAACGTAGATCGTGTATTCGTTTATCTTGCACGATTCATAAGTGTATCTCACATCAACTTCTAGAACCACACTACCTTATAATTCCAACAGCTCATTTACTGATTGCAATCAACAAGTACCGAAGCTATACTACCTATAACGCGGACCATCCACTAGTATCGTAGTCTTAGCTATCCGTTCTTCCGCTGAGAGCAGGTACATAGAAGAGCAATTGCTCGTCTTGCTAACCACCAAAATGCACAACACGTCGATCGTTGCACAACGGCCACCGCGGGTCTTGCGTTACAATGCTACAGCCATTATTATTATTATTCTCATTTCTTGTTGCTCTACATTGCCACTGCGAATACGATGCCAACTACAACGAAGACCACCGTATTACTTAATCATGCGGCTGATCAGAAGGCCCTAATTGTTGAAGCTAGTCAACAGTCGCTAGCCGACCAGCCGTATCAACTGGTGGATCAACTATATTCAGCCATACGGTTAACGTTGGCGGCCAACGCGCACACATCTGAGAGTCCTTTTTTGGCCTGGCTGTGACGATTCCATAGACACCCTTCCTCCCAACCATTCATTGGCCCACCGTTCTTCCTTCGGCAAGTCTCTTCTTTGGATATTCGTAATTTTTCGAGTTTGTTCGACGCGGTTCGCAAGTGATTTAAGCGATGAGTAAAAACCACGCGCTGCTACATCAACGAAGGATATGTTTTGGCAGACGTGAGCAACATAACAGACAGGGCTTCCGCGTTGAACATCCGCTCTTGCTACTAGCGTACAAAACTTACCAGCACGGTTACGATTTTCACAGGGAACAAAGAAACGAGAAGGCTTTTCCGCCATATCGAATAGAAACATACGGTTATAGAGCAAAGCCTAAGCACTATCGTATCAAATAGAGGGCATCCAATCAAAACATCCTGGTAAAAGAGAACATTTTGTCATCTAATGTCGCGGGTGTATTGTATAATTTTTACATGCCTAATACATGTTCTAGCTTGTCCAACGAGTTGCTACTCACAGCTTAATACCGACGGAGGATGGTGGACAAGGGGCGCCCTCCTGTCATGACTATTTGCACGTATGCTCGAATGTCGAGGTGTTCTCTGCACGAATGGAAGTTATAATAGATTGTGCGCGCGGAAGCGAAAATATTTCAGTCGTTACCAACTTGTTATGATATAACCCGTATGCATTTGATCGTCTGGTCAATAGGGTTTCTGAGATGGCAGAAAGCACGATGGGACTCTACATGCACACATGAGTAACCGATGTGATAAATTTGTATTCGAAAGATAGTGTGTTCATGCTAGGAGGATTTCGTAAAGCTAACTGAAAAGCCTGAAAGCTAGCTTTCAAAGGTAGATCTCCATTTCTGATTCATTAATGAAACAATATTTGGCAAGGTGAGTTGAAAAATCAGCAAGCAGGAAATGGAAAATCAACATCAACTAGTTCATACTCTAGAACCTTTTTTATTGTTCCAAATTACGTATGCCCGTAATTCTGTGTGTTATTAATACATACAACATACAGGGTTCCTCTATTTGTCTAACTACTTCGAAACCGTCCCCTAACTAACGTACTCTAGTTTTCATTCGACGGTTCCATGGTAGCTAACCTAGAGAACTTTGACGGTCTAATCTAGTTACACAAGTTACAGTAATAGCTTCCTTTAAGTACGAATGTATTCTAGGTATCACGTGGCTATCAAATCTGTTTCGGTATTGTTAAATAAATGTCGGAAGTCCTTATTCGGCGATTATCTATGTTCAGTTGACAATTGTAGTGACCGCCGCCGACATCTGAGTGACCACAACATTGCATCATCAACAATAGACGTACCACTTCTCGTTAAAGACAATAAGGCTACTTCTACGAATACCGTAGACGGACAATGTTTACGAAGCAATAGCAGACTCAGTCCAAGCAACGCTTTCACAGAGGCTTCGTCAACAGCTCGTAAGGTCAGGGCTTTATTGGTATTAATACAACGATGATATATCGCTGTCAAGTCAACAGCGTCAACAATATTCTGGCCAAGGGCTTTGCATGGTATGATTTTACGGTCATAGTTCATGCTTGAGCATATCTTCAGTATACTCTATCCACCAAATAAAATTGTGGCTTTTATTCAACACACACAAATATGTTAGGCTTTTAACTTTAATAAACGATTTTTACATGGTTGAGGATTAAGTCTATGAGGAGCGGATCTTTGTCTGTCGGCAAGAATTGAATACCCTGACTGAAGTGTTTGTGTCGATCGGCGCTAGCTTCAACGTTAGACGCCTGTTTAGGACACTGGAAGGCTACCTAGGTTGTATACAATGAAGTAATTCAACGTTTCGCTGACCAACACCTTTGGGTCACCACCAGACCCGACCTGTAAGCTGTGCTTACTAATCACCATCTGACCCATTTTTTCTAACCACCTTATACGATGGGTTTTGCGTTACGGCACTTACAGGCAATTTTTTTCGGCCGCATTGGAGTATCAATTAGAGAAAATTTCCACCGTTTTAAGCTCTCTAAGGTATACATATTCATTGAATGAGCACTATAAACTGAATGTACGTACTTATACAACGAAGCTTTACGAAAGCAAATGTCTGTATGTATAGAAATTTTACAAAAATTTCTATACATACAGACACCAGTTCAATGAATGCGCAGAGTAAATTCAATTAAACAACGACGTACAAAGAGGATAGAGAATACCGTCAGGGGCGGAAATCAAGTGTTCGTGTGTTTAGTTACAAACGAGTGCCGTGAGCTCACCCGCCAGCGAGTTCAGTGCGTATTACTGCGGTATCGATCGGGACAAACTGGAAAACTTAGTCCATTAGTATTGTGACTAAACAGTGAGTCGCGTAACCGAGCAAAAAGCAGCGAAACAAAAAACAAAGGAGATTCCAAACAAAAGGAGTTAGAATGAATTGTTGTGGAGGCGTTTACTCAGGGACTTATGGATCTCCAGTTTACGGCGCTCCCGATCGCTATGAAAACTATGGCAGATATGTTTCTGGTCAGTGGGCTCGTGGGCTCTGGGGCTCTGGTCCAGAAGGTCCAAGCAGTGTTGTCCAACAGATCTGGCAAGGCACACGCACCGGGCTCACGGGTGTCGCGATTTCAACCCCATTCACTCTTGGGCTAACAGCCCTGTTATACTTTACGGGAATATTAGGAGAGCGTGATCCTTCCAAGCTCGGTTTCAAAGACACTACTAGTATCTACGGTGGACCGATCACATTCGGCGGTGCACATAGACCTCATGCCCATACCCTGAGCTGCCAGTTTTACAGAGACTAATTCAGAAACTCACTGAAGGGGCGATGGCCTCTTCCCGCAGACGGATAGTTTGAAATTTCGTGACGACGCAAAATACAGGTCCCGTTTAGACTAATAAATTGAGTTACCCTATAGCTCACGAACTAAAATTGGGTTACGATATCTGCTAAAACGAAATAAATCTCAACTGGCTATGAAAGAAAAATCATCAATTTTTTGGCGTGTCTTTTGGACATTCTTGCGAAAATTGTGGATTTGTGTAGCGTAGGAGAGCCGTAGTTAAACTTGAGGGTCATGTAATTAATTATAACGGGTTCATTCACATATTACAACTGATTGATTTGATAGATCGAACACGTGTTTAAGCAAAACGACATCAAAGCCGTGCACGGCCTATAATTTGCCAGGTATTATTGAATGTCGGCTGGGTAAGAACTGTAAAAGATGTTCATTACAAAACAAAAACGATTCCTAGCAAATCCTGCTATAGTGAATTTTTTTTCTTGTTGAGACATTTTACTATCCGCATTGCAACCCCATAATTCATTTCTTGTTTATGGCGTCATGGCCGAACGCAGTCGTTGCGTCTATCAAAAAGTACATCACTGACCATTTATGATTATTTATTTAGTCGAAATATACCAGCCAGTGCAGTGGGGAAAGCCGAACGGTAGTGGAAGGTGAGAGGCTCGAAGATTTCCACCGAACGATACTCAACTCGTCACTTTACCACCTAAGGTGCCCAAACATTGAAATGCAACTCGTTCATTTATTTAGGATGTCAGTTTTGTTTCTAGTTATACAAATGCGGCCGCATCAGTTTATTGGCGCAAAAACAAATTGTAGGATCCGTTATAGAACCTGATTCTTTTCCGCAGGTCGCAGGTCACTACACCGAAAACATAGCTCTGGTTAATCCTTATTAATGCCACATTCTTACTTCGAAACTTAGTGACTTCTGTATTTAATAAATGTTCAAATGTTTGTTAATACTGCCACAAATGATGCGTGTACGTTTAAAAACACACTGCACATATCATCGATTCTTCCGTCTACGGCTGCTATTATTATTGCCTGGTCACTAGTTGAGGCTCCGCATAACGCCTGCCACAGCCACTGATGCAGCTACCAGCGGCCGACAAGCTAACAGAGTTCTAAACAAATACGCCCGAAATCAGTAGTAAGTTGTTCTGTTTCTTAGAAGCCTTACCCCGGCTGGAGAAAAAGCGGGAAAAGAGCCTGAAAGACTAGCTGTCCATACACGCTTCGTACTACGCGGTGCCAGACCCCTACCCTGCCACCAAACGGCCGCGCGTGGCACTTTCCGATCTGTTAAAGGTTAGAAGCACCGCAGGCAGCTCACCATGCTCAGATACGTAGTAGCAGTAGTAAGCGGGCGTTATAGCTACGCATTGCTATAATAAAAATCTGAGCCTACTAGCACTGATGGGTGCAGCAGCTGAGTGCAGCTACACAGGACCTGAAAAAAGACGTAGCAGTCGTAACAAAGACGACAAAAGGTTCTGCCCGACGACCGTATCACTGTATCGCATGTAAGAACCGTAAGAGTCGGAATCGATCGGCACGACTTAAGTATTTTGGCTTTTCAGAGTTGAGTGAGCTTACCTGTCATTCGGCAGATGTCATAGAGATTCGAATGAAAGGTGAAACGAAGAGGGGTTCAACTGAGGGGAGAGAGGAGAGACCGAACCCTTTTATGATACTTCCTGTAGTATTAGTTCTATCACCACAAAAACTGCGACTATGAATTGCATTCTATGCAGTTGCAGTGAAATGCAGACTACCAATTACGGATACTGCTGCTTCGATAACGTGTTGTAAACGCACCTTGTCTAACATAGTGTAAAGAGGCGATCAATCTGCTGCGAACACTCAAACAACTTCAACAAATGCGCTGGCCTATTTTGCTCACGTGTCAGTATAGCTCTTGATTTTATGCCTAATTATGGATTTTTTTAACTGTTTTTTATTTATGATCTTATTTATATAGAAGCATTTAGGCACATGTATCTTTTACATACTTCACAGTTGTCATGGAATTATATAAAACATGACGTGAAACACAGCGTATAAGTACTGATTGTACTGTGTGAGTACAGCGACTGCTTGATTCTCAAACTATATTTAATAGGTGCTAAATAAACCTTTAGGCCAGCAGCTGTTAAGAGGGTTAGAAATGGATACTACCGATGCTTACCGCTATAGTGATACAACGACGTTAAAACTACAAACAATTGTGTGTTATGCCATGGCTGCGTGTCCGGCAACGCTGACTTGATGCCCGAATGCCAGCTTTGGTCCGTTTATAAAAACCTTTACAAATGTTATAATTCTACAACAGCGGACGCGGCAGTATGGTAGAAGTTGCAAATGCGCTTTTACTAAGTAGCTACTGCAAAAGGGAGAACAAATATAGAAAATTTTGGCCCTCTAATTCAGTGAGTCCTAGTCGACGTCATTATGCATGAATCATTAAAGGGCTGTAAATTTGATTGAGGTATATTTGCTTATTTCAAATAAGAAGACCCTAATGTACGCAGGAGCGATTTGTTTCTAAGGCAACTTACATGAAGTTCTGTAAGCGCATATTCTTGCTTTGAATGAATTGAATAAAGCACTAAGAAAATAAAGGTTACTTGTGAGGGCTGAAATCCTTTCAAGCCGTCTATTGTGCACAAGATGTGGCTGCCGTAGGGAAATTGTTTTTTGCGAGTTTAGTAGATGTATTATACAACATATATTGCAGACCACTTTTAGAAAAATCGAATTATGTTCACCTTTGGCCATACATCATAACCGAAAAGATATAATGACGATTACGGCGAGACCCACCTATAAATGCGTTCAATAATATAATCTTACATAGCAACGTGAATACACATTTAGTCTATTTAATAGTCATCCACCGATTTCAACCGATCAAGAATTCCGGAACCTTTAGCAGGAGGAGGATGGAAACGAAGACTATAAAAGGCATCCCTATTTTTTAGCGGTCATAGTAGTTTTACTTTTTAGCATTGTCACCATCATGGGATTCGTTCGGCCTAACAAGTGAGGCTACTGCCGCGTCACTCATAGAAGCCGTTTAGCTTTCAGACGGACATCGTTTGTCGTGTTTGAGATCTGCCAACTTAGTTATGCCGAATGAACGCCTTGTCGTTGTCATCACCAAAGAAAAAGAATAATAAGAGACAATTGAGGGCTTTTGGGTGAGCTTGGCCTCCGTAGCCACTTTTCATTGGTTTCAACGAAACACTCTACTACTGTTCACTAAGCAATTCTCTTTCTGTGTTATACCTTCTCTATAGGCTCCTCCTTTTGTGGCCTTCGGTACTATCCTTTGGCTAAAACCTTCCTTGCTTCTGTTATTATCCGCGGGTCCCCCTTTGTGTTGGTTAATCATGCACTGCTCTTTTTCATATTTGTCAACTACCGTATTTACACAGATAGGTACCAATTTTGCGCCATTACGGCGGTTCGAGCTATCAAAACTTCGCGCTCTTACCGCAATCCATCTGTAGAATTAGTCGGAGTTGTACTGAAAATGCAAGCCAATACAGAGTGCGGAAATAAAGGCTTAGCTCCTATTTTACCGAAAAAGAGTGATGGTAATCAACAGGATATGTCAGAACCAGGTTATACAAAGATAGGGGTTGGCCTAAGAAGCACTGACCACTATTACGTTAGCAAAATTTGATGACCGGTAATAATGTTAGTGCAAACTAAGGCCAATGTGCATTACTGGAGAACCAGAAGCTGCAATTTCAGGTTTCGCTGTCCGGCATATAACGAGATCAGTTTAAGCATCATAATTAACAACCATAAGAATGTCCTTGAATAGCAAAGTATAGATGCTACTAGTAGGCAACTATTCTATAATAGCTGCCTATTATTAAGTTCTCGTAACCTTCAATAAAAAATCTTCTGCAAGAAATTTCAACACTGAAACTTATCCAGGAACTCAGATTGGGTATAGTTGTGTACATTCTATATTGAAATATAGACGATGCAATAAGGAATGTTTTATAACTACTACACCGTTAAGAAATACAGAGACGATTATACATAATGCTTGCATAGTACTCGGATGCCTCAAAGCCGAGGTAACTTGTCTTCATTTAATAGCAGCTATTTTAAAGTTATATATACATATATATATATATATATATATATATATATATATGTTTGTATAATACAAATTACACCGCATTCAGTACAGCTTTCAAGTAAATGGACTCAATTTACCGCAGCGAATCAAGCACTGCTATCTCTCCACCAAACAGACGTCACTTGCGGAACTTCTCAAGACGTTGATTCTTAAACTTCTCGATTGTTCTTTCTGCAGCAAGTTCCAATGTCCTCGTGTGGACTGCGTTGACTCTCTTTCGAAAGTTTAATATATCATCACCTAACATCCATGCCTCATGGAGTTCGTCCATTCTGTAAATGAAAGTTAAAACAGATAGAAAATTGAACAGACTACGGAATACGGGACTAAAAACAGTATAAGAATGTTAAGATCTTACTACTCTTCTGAAAGTAGGTCTTCGCTATAGAAGCAGCGAACACTTCTTTACATGAAGGTCCTCATTTTGTTACAAATTTTCAGCCGAAAGCTTCTAATAGCGCCAAGATGGGTGGTAAGTTCGCTCTAGCATCCGGCGTCATTTCTCTGATTGGAACAAATGAAGATGACAGCGTATGGACAAATTCCACAAAGGGTTGATACATTCTGTTAGCATACTGTTCACTGCAGCTGAGTTTACGTAGGAAATTCGAATAATGACTTAATTATTTGTCAAAGCTACAATAAAAAAATTCATTGTCGGGAGAAATCGGAAAATCAACTCAGCCGTTCGAGCTTTTGTGCCGGGCCACGATAGGTCACCAGCACTTCGTCGAGCACAAATTATTTACATATATATATATATAGCCGGAAATAGTTTAAAGGCCTGATAATTCCATTTACAAACAAACTTATTTTCCATGTAGAAACTAATGAATCACCTTCAACTAAATTCTTTCAATTAACGTATGGCGAATCAAAATTTCTAGAACCAAGCATTGGTTTCGGAGAGGTCTTGAGCACACCCACGTATTACTTTTTCTCCATTTCCTTTGTATTCCACTGTGAGAATTTATGATATAACAGCGACGGGACCTTAACTGACTGGAATCAAAATGTTCCTCAACTATTAGCACATGGCACTACATAAATAAACCTTTCCTTTCGAAATCAGAATAATCAGTAGGCTGCGTTAACTGCTGAGCGCATAGCAGAATAAATTCTTTCTCCAGGCTTACTCGTACTCAGGCTTGCCCTTATAATCTTATCACATTATTGATAGGGCCAGGCTTTTTTAATTTGCTAACTGAAAGAATTTAGTTGAAAGTGATTGATTAGTTTCTACGTAGAAAACAAATTTCTGTGTAAACAGCATTATTAGTCCTCTAAACTATTTCTTGCTCGACGAGGCCCTCCTATCCTACCGTGGCCTGGCACAAAAGCTGGAACGACCGAGTTGACTCTCTGATTTATCCCGATAATGACATTTTTACTGTGGCTATCGCTACTGAACATATCGCGGTAAATTTTGAAAACTAGGATTGGCCTTTAGGGGCAACCCCAATGAATGTGTTTTTGTTTGACTTATATGTATGACAGCACACGGGGCCATCATCATGACACTCTAAACGCCGTTGTTTTTGTCTTCTTATGCAGCGTAAAAACAAGTTTAGCTATGTTGAAACATACGAGTTGTTTAGACTAGCTTCCTCACGAGCTTCTAATTTGTACATTAAGATTGGTCCTTTTTCTTAGGCAAAGCTTCGCATCAAAAAACAGCCAACCTCAACAGTTACAACTTCTGCACACGCATCCTTCACAAATAGCAAATAAAAAAGGCTATTTTAAAAACAGACCTCACATCAACAAACATTGTTTACGCTTACATAGGTAAATTTTACGCTGTTCGGGACTCATACGCAAAATTAATATTAATAGCATGGCAGAGGTAATGACACTTCGGCAGTTCAAACTTTTCTGCTTTCCATCGTGGCAACCGCATCACATACCTACTGTCGTTGAGTTTTTTAAGGTGAATATAAGTTCCCCGGGAAAAAAATCCGTACAGGGTTTCTATCTAACACAAGTTAGAGTATCGAAATCGAATAAATAGACTGTATTACATAAAGAATCGCTCCTCCATTTCAGAGCTTCTTGAGAAACAAAAAGTTTGTTAGTGGATGTTCTAGGCAATATTCTATTCATTTTAGGTATTTTATATAGATTTAGAAGTCTCTAATCCTCTATACATTGATGCATATATAAGACGGGTCCTTACTTGAGTTCGAAATCCTTTGGGTTACAATCGCCCTCAAGCTGTCCTACCTCGAACTCCACTTGTAAATCCGCGTCTATAAATACCCTTACTTGTCTACAACGCCAGACAACGCTAAAAAAGCAGGTTAAACGCCGATAGTTACGCCATGCTACATTCTAGGCGAATATTATTATATAAACATTGATTTATATAAATGTATCTATAGTCTTGAATATGATAATCCTTTAAGAATCTACGTCATCTAGAGGGAGTCAAATCATAATGGCCGTTTCATCAGCTCAAAGTTTCGTTTAAATTTAATTAATTAAGCAAAAGCTTAATCGTTCATGTCTAGGAACTTTCCACAATTCTTTTCATTCTCTTAATCCATTACGTACATAAAGAGGAACAGTGGTAATCATTTAATGTGTCGGACGCCATGTTAGTTTTTCTAGCTTAGTTAATTATTACTTTCCTTCGACAGTACAATTTCTTTTAATTACAACATTACTATTATTCTTAAATGGAGCGATTATTGAAAGAACTATACCAGGATTCTAATATTTCCAGCTAGCTGAATCAATGAGCCAAGTTTTATTTTCATCAATTGAATATATTAACTGAATGTAAGCGGCCTTAAGGCTAACACTTACCCTCCAAATGACACCCTCTTTTTTCCGGCGATGAGCGCAGTGTCCGTCTTTAACCAAAACTCGACGCCTTTGAAGGATGCCCAATTCGCCTCCAGTACTTCGATGGCTGAACGTATCTTCAATTCAGCATCCGACCACGAACTCGCACGCCATACCGTGCCCTCACAATTTCGAACTAGCGCCCTCCGCGTCCATGTAACCACGAGAGGGGCCAACGCAAAAAGACCCCCACTGCTGCGGTGCGGATCTGTCTCTGTGCAATCGACAATTTCGCCTTGTACATCACCTCTCGGGAGTTCGCGGCAATCGATTCTGACTAGAGCAAGGTCATGTTTTGAGTAACTGTGATAAAGCGAAAAAAGTCAAAAAGGTGTGTGTGTATGCTTTGTATTGTATGCTCACGGCATTTTCTCATAGAGCCCTAAAAACACCTGGCGTTAATATCGTTATCGAGCCCAACAAGCCCATTTGATCAATGTAGACCAAGAACACATTTAGCATCTACGTATTTCGAAAAGCTTACCTAACAGAAGCGGATCTTGTTTCGAAGTTACACTCAACATAAATATCCTGATGCGGAGCGACTTCCTCTAGTTGAGCCTTGTTGATTAAGGGCCATGGTTTGGCGCGAACTAGGAACTCGTTTACGCGTGAGAGAAGCGCCTTGAAACCGTCTTGCTCCGAGCGCATTTTGTCCAGCTGTCGTCTATAAGATATACAACTACGCTATTTTCCTCATTACTCGCAAACAATACAAGCGGTGATGTGCGCTATCTGAATCCGAAACAATCTCAAGAAAGGCTTGCACCATAATCAAATCAGTACATACGATCAGTACATTTACAGTTTTGGTCAATCAATCTCTTAAGTTACAGTTTATTATTTTTAGTGGTGCCATCTATTGACTTTGAATGAGGCCGCTTAGTTTCTTTTACGATGTTCCTTTAGATCGGTAGAGCACCAACTCTAACCAACGCATACCTCAGGTTTTCCTGATATCCTGTATTTTCCTCAGGCACAAGCGTTCTTTTCAAGGCAGCGGCGTCCATGCCATATTTGACGTGTACCTTCACTGGGGAAGTGACGGGCGGTAACTTTTTTGGAGACAACATTGTTATACCTTTAAAAAGCTCGGGAAATTCTTCAGAAAAGCAAAAGCAAAATATTGCGGTGAGTATTCGTAAAACCAATACAAGGTAAATCTTGCTGAACTAGCCAGTTATCTTGAACTATGATAGAGGTTCTACTCGTCATTGTGCGAAATCGCAACCCGTTTAATTTGAGTGTTACTTACCTTTGTGCTAGTTATATGAACGTACCTGCAAGCAATTGGTCCTCCGTGAAATTTTGTTTTGTTGCAAGTGAAGTTGGTTTAATGGAATTGTTTAAGTTTGTTCGCTGTGACAGCGGCGTGCCAAACGGGGACACTCCGCTCCGGTCCGATAAAGTGCGACCCGAAGTTTCACCGAAATGGCTGCCGAAAATGATATCAGTGCAGTCATGGAATCCCGGGATTTCGGGTTCATCGTGCAGAAGACTCACCTCGTCGTCACGAGAAGCCGGCTTCTTTAAGTCCAGAAATATAAACCCATTATATTACAAAGTCAACTAATAGAGCGAACCCTGCATCCTCCCCTTAAGCTAACCACAAGATTTCTTCAAAGTAATATACTTTCGTACAGTTCATTATTTGTCTAAGTCTACGCGCAACTGAATTTGAAGCTAGGAGTTACTTGATAGACAAAGTTGATCATCAAACCTATCATATCTTCTCTGATGAACATCATCATAATCACAAAATCATAATATGTCAATCAGACTATCTAGATTTACCTCAGGAGACCTGGCTATACTGTAGGTTTCATTAGCGATTCCCACGCCAACCTTAGTCTGGTTCAACGCTGATCGATCTCCAATTTTCAATAGTCGGTCTCTCTTGCCAGCTTCATCGCATTCCCTATACGATAGCCGTCCTTTCGTAAAAGTCGTTTCCGTATGATTCCACTCATTGCTCGGATCACATTCTATCAGCGGTGCCTCGATTTCATCAAGAGGTTGAACGCCACTTACGTCCAGTTGGCGATCAAATCCTGGTTGGCTCAAGGTGTCATTACATGTACGGTCCTGGAGGTCGTCGCTGTTGTCTTTACTGCCTCTGCTATCGTTGGTATCTTTGTCGCTGCCAGAAATCTCCGGATCTTCTTTACATTTTTCAGCAGTTCGCAATATAAACGTCCGACGTTTACCAGCTGTTTCATCGCGCTTTTCGGTTCCAATAAGAGCTGACGTTTCATCCACATTTTGACAATCATTCGCTCTCACCTCTTCGTCGCTAACTGTGGCAGAAGTCGCTTCGTAGATTGGTAATATGCTAGCATTTTCCATACGACTTGGACCTTGTGCTTCATCAAGCTCTTCACAACCGGAGATTATTGCCGACGTCGATGCCGCGAAGGACCCCTGAGATTCATTTAGTCTAGTCGCATCATCTTGATGATGATATTCGATGTCGTCGGTTGCGGTCTCATGTTCATCTTCTTCATAATGTTCGTTGTCTTCGGTCACATCCGTGCAATTCATTGTCTCAATATCTGTACAGTTGAAAGATATAAATTCATTCCTAATTGACATTGATGCCGTTACAACACTTTCTTGCATCAATGAAGTGCCGGCATTGTATGCTGTATTGCTCCGATTCCTGTGGGAGCTTTTATTTAATTTGCTGAGATCATCGTAGCAGGTAGAATTCTCGAGGCTGTCTGCTGACTCACTGTGATCCGCGGTGCTTGCTTCGTTAGCTGAAGGATTTTTTTCAATAAACGTCTCTGACGGCTAACAGAAAAACCAGAACCTAATTTAGTATATTTAGCCGTTTGGTCATAATAGCTTTTTACGTTTACATTGTTTGGTTATCAACAATTTTTTGAAAATTATTTCAATCACAGTTACATAATGATATATAAGTTAAACGTGAACTAAGTGAAAATTTGGGTACTGAACAAATATATAAATAATAGACCAATTTACTAATATACAATTTTAATTTTCATATAAATGAGTAACTGTCGGCCGCGTTATGAGTATCTTGACAGCGTTTTGTCACAGTTTGATTTTACAGTATACACAGATGCTTTCACCTACATCAATACACGAAGAAAGATTTGGCGGAGGCAACGACTGATATACTGATTCGCTCCGAGACTCATCTGCTCGATTTCTATTGATAGAATATAACTTGCTGTTCTCCTCAGACGAAGGCGAGCGCCGAGAAAGCTCTTCGGCCATAGTTTCATCAGGCATTATATTTGAAAACCGAATACCCGTAATAGTATTATTTGCGAAGGTGTACTCGTGGACAGGGTTGATGTTTACGTTGTTCCGTTTACGTTCAGCGCGACCTGAAAAGAGAAACACTTTAACGACTTAATTCATTTTTTTTCTGGACTCTATGTTATTCGACATGAAATGAGACGGTTCTCAGATTTTACAGACGGCTCGTAAGAAATCATATTCATGAGCATCCCGACCTTTGATCCAAACCCCTATAGGTACCAGGGTCTTACTTATGGAACCCGTTCGAATATAAAGTGCATGATTTGCACAGATAGTTTGACTAGACTTCCAAAGAATTATCACCTTGCAGAGCAGCCTTAATGCCGTAAATGTCGGGCCTGGTTTCCGCTGGAAGAAGTCCTTCAGCGACCTTGCGCAACTCCTCTCTCACGGGACCAGTTTTTTCGTCGCAAAGCTCTACAGGGTGAGTTTTGTCTTCCTGTTCTGAAGATTTCCGACGCGTTGGTTCTACAGTATAGAAGAAAAAAAAACATCATGTTCAACTTAGCACCATTAGCTAGTAGTTTCACGGTTCTATCCGTAACATGAACTGTATCCCCTCAAATCAATTTAAGAAAAAGCTCTACTTATGGGAACAGGTTACCTTCTGGTGGTGTTAACGACGGACAGACCGCTTCAGATTTAAGAGCAGCATTGGATTGACCCGAGGTCTCCTGGTCACTGACGTTTGTCATAATCACACTTTCTTCATCGTCATCTTTAGCTGCAACTTCCGTACATTCACCATCGAGCGGGCCTTTGCTATGTTCCGTGTCGCTGATCTCTTCATCATCCAACCAACCAGCATCTTCATCATTTCTATCTGATCAATGATACAATCGTAAATGAAACAATAAAATTGCTTAATTCGGAATATTCAGAATAATTCATCACAAAAGATGACTTCACTTGAACGGCATTATTTTCATAAAAACAGCTTAACTTAAACTTTACCTGTTAGGTTCAACTCGGCCCTGTTAAATCTGGCGATTGCTAAGTTCTCTCGAATATCGGATAAGGTCTAGCTCGCGTTTAAACAACTTCTAGAAATTATGGCCGTGTATTGCAGTGCAAAGTCTCGTCTACAAACTGCCATCTGCTGAAATGATTCAAATAAAATTTTGAAATAAACCACATTCTGGCATACCTTGAGAAGGAGTGGATGACAGTGACATTTCCATGAGTGCAGAGGTGTCGGGAAGTCCGTCTAGAGTGGAATTGCTGCTATGGAGTCTTTTAGAGAGGTTTCTTTGCTGAAATGATTCTTGATCCATAAGGCAAGTGCCATGCAGCGAAGACTGCGATATATAATCCAAATAATGCAGTAATTAAATTAGGCAGTATTTTTCGTGTATATCATTGTCAATGTCAAAACAAAATAGTGGCTTTCAACATTTTCAATTGTGATGTAGATATGGTCTCTCTATAGTTCAGTAATTCACACGGAATGAATCAAACATTATTTCAACACTTTCTAACCCTGTTCGGCCATTTGTTCCGACCGTTACCTATCACGTTTCTTATTATAGCAAACATTTATTCCGTATCTTGATCATCTGCAAAATAACTATATCAGAAAACTTCACGTGGCGTACTTGTTGATCATGCAGGGTCGACATTTCTCCAAGAGAAACTGAGGAACAGTCCCCCCCAAATGTGGTCTGTTTCGATTCATCGGAATCGACCGAGAACACCCGTGTCTGATTGCTGACGCTAAAGCTTACGCGTTTATTCAGAGGACGGGTCAACGTGACCTCGTCGTCGTCGCGTTTTTTTATTATCTGCAACAGATCAGATGTAAAAGAGATCCCTTTTTAAGAGTGCTTTTTAGATGTTAAAACAACGCAGCGATGTGCGCTATAGATGCGCATTGTTAACCGTGCCTTTAATACGTATCATTCTGCCTTCTCTAATGGCCTTATATTTACAGGTCTTAACCTCCTGAGCCAGAAACATCGTTTCAGTTTTTTCGCATAATTATTACGTTGATTAACACCATGTATATATATTCAGAGGCTAATAAACACCTATGTGAGTCATTTGGCGACTAAGTACTCATAGTATAAATATATGATATTTGCATACAGAGTAGATAATTTTGTTGGGGTAATTAATAATGTCAGGAAAGGTCTTCTTTAGCTATTAATTATTATTAGTTAATTTTAGAAAGATAAAATGAAATCTTTTATAATAATAAATAATAATAACAATAATAAACTTAAAGCTACATTTTACATTGTGCCTAAAATATTTCAAGGATTCATGTAGCGTTATGATCTGCTAAATTATTGAATAAACTATAAAAAAAAAACAACGGATTATCACAGATATAATATGGTATACTATTATTATTATATCTATAGACCCAACTATTTATTTAGTTTTATCGAATGTATGTTGCATTATTAATATAAAACAATTATAGGGATAATCGAGAAATATTATTATCATGACAGCTGGGCAGCTCACGAAGTATACAACGTATCCTGCTTTTTTCCTTTAGAGTTTGGAATGGTGCACTCTATGAAAGGCTTTAAAAACATTGAAATTTATACAATGGAAACCTTATCTGTTGTTAATAAAGTTGTGTCCTCTTTATAAACGCTCCAGTTCAGATAAATTACTACAAGTCTGGTCAACAAACAGTTTCCCAAAAAAATATGTAATCAGGAGCCAGGCCTTTAAAAATATTAAATAATATGTTCTTCTTATGTAGTAAGTAGATGTAATTACTAATTTTTTTTTAAAAACATTAGGCACATCTTTGATTTGGGATTTTAATATAGTTAATCAAAGATGGGATCCAGATTCTTTTATAAAAAGTTTATGGGAAACTTACTGATCGTCGCCCGTGCATAATGGTGGAGCCGTTAACCTGCTCATAACCGTTGCATCAGCGGTATTATGAATTCAAAATCGAAACTACCCGCGCCGTAATGGAGGACAGCCGGGAGGGAGCTATTTGAGAAAGGACACAAGAAACGCGCGGCGGACGTCAAACAGTTGAATCAAACCCTTTTAGTAATAAAACATTTCTAATACTTTGAACATTGTTGCGTTAACTTTCGACAAGAAAGCTAAGGTATGCTTAGGAACGTCTGGCTTTGGATCATATGGCCTGCACCATTTCTGCGCTTGTGTGTGAGAAACAGCTGGTTCAAACCCGTCAATGGCCATATACATGCATATGTATATATAGAAAGAGTGTGTGAACAAAAATATAAAATGTTCAGTATTCTAAATTCTTTATATGACAGGTGATGCTCTTTACAAATGCAATGCATAAACATATTGTCTCAATACCCCCGAATTTATACAACAGATATAACCCACTTGAGCAAAGAAAGCTATTACTTATATATGCGTGTAGCTTGTAATCGATCGACCTGAGCAGTCGATCCTCAGTTGTCGATAACGGGTGCTCTCATCTGTGTTGCAGAAGGTCTGTTCAGTACCTGACACGCAACAAATTTGTGTTTTGCTGAACCGTTTAAACGAATAGAGCGAGAATGGAAATAGATCGGAAAAAATCGGTGAAAATTACGCTACGCTGTCGGCTTTACTCTCTGGATTGTTTTAGTTTATGACGAGTAGTCTATGGACGTCAACGACCTTACAAATTGGTCCTTCACTTGCATACCTTTTCGCACGACATATGTATGGTGTATTTGTACAACAAAAACATCGACCAATAATAATATTTTTTATTCTACCCTTGATTTATTTAAGTGTGTTTGTTATCTTTTTTATTATATCCTATTTTATATAGTTTGTCCACTTATGCGCTCGTAAGCCACATATCCTAATTGTGTATATGTGTAATTATTTCATTGCTATTTAATTTCCGTGCTCTGTTTAGCTGAGTCGTTCTTAATGATACTTTGTTTGTAGACAAAACTGTCACTGCATGTGTGTTTGTGTCACCCTCCAACGTTGTCTTGGCGAGCTGCGGAACTCATCATCACCAGATTCAAAATGTACGCTATGTGTAGCTTACTAGACAAAGATTAATCAATTCGACCAACATCTGCATAACACATGAAGCTATGTTAACATAAACGAGCTTTTTTTAAAATAAGCATTAATATATATATATACCGTAACCAAATCTCGAGTATCGTAGATGCTTCGGAAGTCGACTGTCCCCTTTCCTTGTCCCTTCGTCTTTTCCAGTTCCTTCGGCCAACTTACTTCAGCATTATTTCCAGTAACTGTTGTGTTTGCTCATTAGCTACTTCGTCGTACGATGTAACTATACAATAATGTAATATATATGTAATTGGAACTGCGGTTCGTACTTATTTTCGTCTTTGAATTGTTAACAATGCGATGTTATTAGCATCCTCATATTTCATACTCGCCCATTTGTATGATCAGTCCTGAAAAAAAATGTCTACCCGTTCAGGTTTAAGTTTTTTTTTCTTTAACGCTTTTTGTTCTGTCTGTCAACTACTTTTTAATTTAAGAATTTAGCGGTATATATATATATATATATATATATTCTTTATAGCATATATGCACTATATGTACACACATATCGGTTTAATTGGGAATAATAATAATCATCGAAAGTTTTACGCAGCCTTTGCACTCTGCTCGAGTATTGTTGCCATCTTCATGATGAGAAAATTAGATAATATTTGTACATTAGATAATAATACTAACTTTCGGGATGTGGCTCAGCCAGCGAAGTCATTCTTGCTTCGAACGCGGATGCCGTTTCAAAATAACGCTTCTCCTATAGTGATTACTACGAAGATATTTAATATTGCGATAAGATCTGCATATCTTCACTCTTTCCACTAAATTGTTTAAGCCCCAACCTACAACTGTGTTTTATAAATAGGCCAAAAGCCGAGGGTTACAAGGTATGATCCGGTAGCCAACGATCCTACATATCACTACACTACAACCTACTTATCAGACGTGATGTTTTCGTCTATATTATTGAGTTTTCGTTCAGTCGAATGCACTCATCTTTAGTTTAATCAATTTTGCCGTTCGACATTTTGTCCTCCGTTCAACGGCAACTTATGGCTTGACGGGGCCGTTTTTAAAGCTAAATATCCGATCTAGGTATGGTCGGTTTTAAAACGGTTTCAATGGCAGCTTTTGATTCTTCACAAATAGCGAACGCAAACGTCTCGTTCGACAGTTGACAATAACTGCGATTAGTTCCAAAATCTTCCCTATAGCACATAATCCATTTCGGTTGCCCTAAACATGATTAAAAATTATGTCACCTTCATGACATATTAACGTCCCACGGTGAAAACTTTCGATGATGAGATTCGAACAGTCGGGAAGGACGAGGCTTTTCAGTGTCTCAAAGGACTGTCAGTGTCTTTAAATTTGCTATCTGGATTCTAGCTTAGAAAAGCTCAACGAATAGTACAAACCAAACTTTGGCCATATGAGGAAGTACTTAATCGCAAATAATTCAATTTCTTTATATACCTCGAGGAGAGTTAGCAGGTAGTGTTGTTTTGTTGAAAAAAAAACAAACGATAAACTACCTTAAAATTAACTATGTTTTTTAGGAACTCTCAGAAGCGTTACTGGCATTAGAAAGATATCTCCGATATATATATATATATATATATGGGTTTTATTATCATTCGTCTATTTGATTACGTGCCTGCACTCGCCTCACCTATACGGCCCACGTGGATTACTTACCCTGTAGTTAGTGTTCACTTACGAGTTCATACGCAGTTAAAAACTTTACAATAAGATTACTCTGGATGTATCGCGTTCGACTTTTTGCCCGATTTCTGAAAAAAGATCTGGTTCAAAACACCTTGCTGGTCTAGATAAATAGTGCTGGGTAAGCAATGTAACCTAGTAATAACCGAGGCTAAATGCGACATGACTTGCCGAAGACAGACTCTTTCAACGCTTCAGAATAATAACTATGTTCCCATTGAATTGGTTAAGTAGGCCTGTTTCTCTGTTGCAAGTTTTATGCCCGGTATCGCCGTTAGGCGTTCTGTCAGACGGTTGCCTCCAGCACGAAGCGAAGTCCGTCTACTGCCGGATTAAAACCTAGGCCATAACTTGTTCCACCTTGCTTTTATAAGAAATCTTTCATTGGGGTCTTGAACTACAGCAAAATGCAAATTTTGAACTCCTTGTCCTGAATTTGGCAGAGGACACAATGCAGCTTTTTGAAGGCGTGTGTTCCCTTAGCCGGTTGGTGGAACGATATTCTGCACCTGTAGTTGGAGTATATTTTAGAAATACACTCGCATATTATAACCTAACCAATCAAAATTGTTACGTAGCAGAAGGACTTTCGTTTATTTTGTTTTCCCCAAGTAGGGTTGTAATAATATCAATTTCGATATTGAAACCACAATATTCTGTGTGTACCAAAAACCGACACTTATTTTTTTTTGCAAGCACTGTCACAGTAAACGCTATATAACACGCGTGTTTTGTGAAATTACTTGTACGTACATAGCTAGAAGGGGTGGTGAATGTGTGTAATTTTTTATAAAAACTTCCGAATGAATTGACGAGAATCGCGAGCGAAGTGTAACTAAATTAAAAATAACACGCCAATAACCTAAGAGACGATTTTGTTTGCGTCAAGCGCTTGTTCATTTTTCATCGTATAACAGGACGCACAAACTGATTTATTATAGCACCTGTAATGCATGTGATGTAAACCAAGAACTGAAAGATATTTGTTAGTAATTTTCAAATAAAGACACATAATTATAGTGCATCGTTGCACAGTGTACAAACGCATTTCGCTATTCAAATTAGGTATATCGAGCTTTTAACACCACTTTTTTCATTTCCTTGCCGTTTTCGCGCCTCGTACTTTCTTCTTTATACTTCTCTCTTCATATTATCTTTAATAAGATGTTTCTAATATTTATTGTCCCTTTTTTTTCTTTGCTCTGTTCTTCAGTCGAACGAGACACGTACCAACACGGTGACGACATAGCCGTTCTATATAATAGGTGTTTATATATGTCGCATGTATATATAGAAATCTATGTGTTTGTGTGTGTATGTGTGCATATGTGTGTAAGTGTATTTGTATTGTTTTACATCTGTTACTTTACCCGTTAGGCATTACTTCAGGTATATACGTATATTCATCATTAAACTGTACTTTTTTCAATAATGATATACTAGGTTTTCCAAACGTGCGGGAGCAGGACAGTCGTCCTAGATTAGTCGGCCGTAGCGAGATCAGGAGTACGAGTTCCAGTTGGTTGTTCATACCCATCTGAACTAAAGCAGCGGCACGTCCCGGTAGTAGCTATTATTAATTTTTACGATTTCATTAATATTATAGGTACTATTAGAGATCGTACAAATGCACTTAATTTTTGGCAAAATATCATCCCTACATACCGCGTAATTATATGCGGTCATATTTATACATTAATAACGTACGTCACTTTTTCACCTACGATACTAGATGAGGAGGTTTATCTTCTAATGTTCTTATTATCGTAAAACTATGACATTTCAGATGATTGGTGTAAGTATTGCGAATTTATTTAGTCGGTGTCATTTTTGTTAAGGAATAAGGAACTTCCTATAACAAAAAAAAGTAACGGCAAAACTAGGTCTACCCACGCCCCACTGCTCCTACTTCGAGACACTCGGAGCGCAATTACAAAAATCGGGCTCGCTAAAACATACTCGTGATCCCGCTACCGCCTCGCATGAAACTCTCTTACCTCTCCCAGCATACCTTGTCACGCTGTTTATTCTCCCTTACTGCGTGCGTATGTGTGTGGGTGTGTGTTTGTGTGTGTGTAGATAATGCACACTTTCGTTACTTTTAAGAAAAGGCGGCGCTCCTTCAGGCTAAATTAGTTATTCGCTTTCCTCTATTATGTCGCTCTGTTTACGGTGTTTCTCTGCTTTTTTTTTTTTATCTTTTCGTCCATTTTCTTCTCACAAAGATTTTATTTTTTTTTATCAACTTGGTTTTCGTTCATTGCTACAATACTTCTCACTCTCGCTCGCAATGTTCCTGTCTCTCGCTAACGCATTCTCTCTTTCCTGTCCCTTTTCGGTAATGCATCGTTCCTGGTATACGTTCGCAGTTACCCACGTAGTTACTGAAAATTCATTCTCGTACGCGAATATTCTTGTAGTTTCCCTCTTTTCACCGCTGACATGGGCTTCATCGATACTACGTTTAAGAATGACTTTTTGTTTTTTGTTTGAACGAAGTGATCCAGCCAAACATCTATCGCCGACTACTCGATCTGCATTCCTTTCTCGTCTATATCTATTTGCTTTTTCCCTGATTCCTTCTGATGTAATCGCTTCCTTCGTTTTATTTGTTTTCCAAAGAGTTGTCACTTTATCTAAAACAACCTGTTTTTCATTTTCTATAACCATCAGCTCCGTTTTGACCACCATCTCTACCACAAATTTCATCATCATCATAATGGCGGGCATTATCACCACGATCATCCTTATTGAATCAGCATTGACTCCTCAACTGACGAGCCAATACATACTTCTATACTCCTTCCCACACAGTTTGCGCTTGCTATAAAATTACCGATCGACAACCACCACGCTACAAAGCACTGGCTAACATTTTCTACCACGACTAACTGCCATTATTATTATTATTATTATAAGTATTATCGTTATTACTACTAATACTACCACAGCCTCGACGAACCTTCCGTTACCCCGGACAATGGTAGTCACGACGATGATGCTGACATGGGTGTCGATGGTGGTCTTTCACGCCATGCACATTGACTGAATGAATCATTTTCCGGTTTTCTAGACTTTTCCGCCCCCTCTGTCTCCCCCCTCTGTACGTTCGTTCTTATCTCACTCGATTGGCGTTTTCCTAATTTTTATTTCAGGCTGCTTTTTTTTTTTCTAAATCGCTATGCCGCGAAATTGTCATATTCCCTTACAGCTAGGCTGTCGAAGGATTTTCGCTGCAACTATCATCACAATAGAATGATGTTAATGATCACTGTCTGACGGATGTTCGTTGTCTTAATGTGAGCAGCGATAACACAACGAATAGCAACAGCCGAGCACACAGCATAACAAGTAAAAACACTACTGGGCGTTGCCAACCTCTTAACAAGATTTCGTTGAATCACCTTTTTCTATTTCTACTGCATCAACGCCGTGCATCGTTACTGCGATTACTGTGTCGTCCGGTGTTGTCATCCTAAAGTTAGATATCTAACGACGGGGACCCCAAGCCACACCTGAGCCATTCTGTCCGGCCTTGGCTCCGAAAGAAGGAAAATCCGATTGGCTGGCCGAATCGGGCACAGCCTGATTCTGACTCGAGTTCTGTGACTGTGACCACGGGGCACCCGTAACAACGAAGCCCTGACGGGTTCCGCCGGTATCTCCTACACTGGAACTCTAAGGAAACCACAAAATGACGTTAACTTCTTTCATACATTCATCTCAAAGTATGGCATGGTGCCATCTGTTTACACAATGATTCAGCGTCAGTGGACTAAATTTTTCTGTAAATGCGTTTACTTCCTTATTGCATAGAAAAGGTCTGATTTAAAACGGAAATGCGAAATAATTTAACGGAACAGCAGAAGTGACATGTAGATACCTGGAATATGTTGTTAAGTGTCTGCTTTTGAGGCCGCTGATAAGCCTTCTCTTCGGTGACGTATTCCATAAGCTCATCCTCCAGATTTTTGAGATGTTGCACCGCATTTTCGACATTGTCTTCTGCCCCGACAATCTCCACCAAGTCTGGATCTTCAGCGTCCGGTCGTGGAAACTTAATTTCCACTTTGAACTCATCCATGAACTTCCGCACATTTCGTCCTCGTTGGCCAATGATGCGGGAGTGTATTCTGACCCCATAAAAATGGATGTTAAGTATTTCTCATTGCGTATCGCCTCAAATAGAAATTTATCCTCCCCATATGGAGACTTCAGAAAACTGGATAATTGTATATGTTGTATTTTTACATAAATTGAAATCTATGACCACTCAATAAATCCAATGAAGACAACTGACACAGCTTAGTCACAAGTTTTTAGTGAATTGCCAAATATGATTTGATTTAAGATTATCAAACTGTGAGAATACTAACCGGTGATCAAGTTTTATAGCTCGAGTCACCATATTCTCTAGTTCCTCGACAAAGCGGTGGATTTCGTCACAGGCTGCGCAGACATTCTGCTCGTAGCCGGTGACGGTTATCACATCGCCGCCACCAGCGGCCTCATCATCGTAGCCACCCTCTGTCGCTCCGCGTTCGTTCTTCGCAGGGAACTGGATCTGCACGTTATAGTCGGCTCGCAACTTTGTAACAACTGCACCCTTGCGGCCGACGATTTTCGAGTGGTGCTTGGCGGGCACTTTAATATTTAGTGAAAATGAGCGCAATTTTCTGTCCTCTTCCTCCTCAAGAAGGTTTTTAATGCGCTCATCGAGCTCCACGCGGCAACGTGCCACGTTTTGAGCAGGTCCAGTTACCCTGACAATATCCAAACCTTCTGTCGCTTGTGGTACCTTGATATTAACTTCGTATTTATCCATGAGCTCACGGACGTCTTTGCCCTTCTGGCCAATGATGAATCGATGCAGCTTTGCGTCAACAGAAACCTAATTGATAGAATATGAAACGGTACAATTAGCGAGAAACTGACAACCAGGTTGAAGCACTTTGCCAGGTTTGCTCGTTATCTTACATAAGCTCAAGGTGTCCTCTTAACACCACATCCTTGACACTACACACGTATGCTAAGTAACAGCACACCACTGGAAGAACCGTTTCCCCCTTTTTAGTTTTTTTTTTAACGGATCAGTTCCCCTTACGGTATTGATCAGCCGCACTTACCTCCTCAGTAACTGGTACCAGAGCCTCGAGCGCGGCCTTCGCGGCCCTACACTTGTCAGGCGACCCAGTAATGACGATTGTGTTGCGAACGGCCTCACTTACGTCAGCTGAAATGTCCCCATCCGGGAGCTCTTTTGACCCTTCTTCACCACTTGCCGAAACTGGGGTTTGTTGCTTTTCGGGAAACTTTATGTGAACGCCGAACTCTCTCGTAATGCCCTGCACGTGTACGCCTTTAGCGCCCATGACGGCACGATGGTGCGCCTGTAAAGACAATCAATTATGATAAAACAATTTGCATCATTTAATGGGTAAATATGTTTCACATTGCTCATACTTCAAAATCGCGATGGCTTTACTTCTACTCAAATTGATTGTTTCAGCACGTTGATTGCACAATCTATACTGTGAGAGAAGGCGCACAAGCGATGCCTAGGCGCATGCATTGAAAATGAAATTGATTAAGTTTTGTTGGATTAGAAATATGTTAACAGAATATAGCGAACAAAAAAATCCTGTTAAGGCACAGTGCTAAAGGTGAAAATGAGGTGTAAATTGAAAGTACATATGGACTATGTCCTGAGACTAGCCAATTACAACAGAGGACCTATACGATGTGTCCAATATTCTTACCTGTGGGATAACACAATTCATGGTGATCTGGTTATCGAGTTCCTTCGTAATCTCGAGAAGGCGCTGCTTAACTTCGGCGACAGAATCCTTAGGTCCTTTTAAAGTTACTTCTTCGGAACCGCTACTACTTTTCGGAAAGCTCACCTAGAAAAGCACTGCATCAACTCATAATTCATATCAAGCGATAATAAGGTCTGTAATGCCGTTGTAGAAAGTGCATTTTCCTAATCTTAAATATAATACCATAATTAGCCCGTTTTGCTTTCTAATTTTTCCAATTGTAAACCAATTGGCGCAAAAGGTACCAAGTAAAGTCTACTACGATGACAATTCCTCGGCATTTACCTGAACATCAGATTCTTCTAGAATGTGCGACAAAACCTCGGCACGGCGGGCGATGAAATGCTTATGATATTTAGCGGGAATAATCATTTTGTCCTGTGTTTGATTCTCTAGTTCTGTGATCATCGCTTCTAGTTCCTTGCGAGCAGCCTGAGGAAATATAAGTCATAAAAGCATACCGTTAAAACAAATTTTAATTACGGTAAACATTTGGCAAAACCCTCAGGGCGCCACGCACCTTTACATCTTGTTCTCGGCCTACAATCACGATTGTCTCCCTATCTTCGCTGTCTTCTGCAGGAAATATAATTTGGGCAGAAATCTTTTCACGAATCTTTTTGATGTTAGCGCCTTGTCGACCTATGAGGAAGCGATGATGTTCAGATCGAGCCCTTAGCTCTTCACTGTGGGCACCCAACTGGCGTTCATTAACCTGTTCAAGACGTGCCTTTGCGCGGTTGACCATATCTTTTGGTCCAGATATAAGGCAACGGTCGGAATTCGATCCAGGTGCGGGGAATTCAACATCAACCTCAGAGATGCTACATCCAGCTTCCTCCAGAATTGACTGTAGAAGCGCGCGCTTATAGCGCTGAAGTGTCCCATGTAACTATTGAATGAATACAATTAGAGAATGAAAAGAGATACCGTCATTCAGTAACCACTGCAGAAGATACTAGTGCTTTTGACGTTAGTTTTCGTTCACGTTTCAAGTCGAGTTGTAAATAGAGCATTAACCATAGTATCAAAACAATAGAACAGCGCCTTTTTCAATATTAGGGCTATACAAACAGACCTTGCTGGAAATGAAAACCTCCTTCTCAACAACATCCGCATTTTTCCTCTGCTGTTCAAGCAGTAGCGCCCGGGCCTTTTCGGCTTTATCCTTTTCAGCGATCACCGAAACCTGCTCGGAACCTCCACTAGTGCCTGAAACACCGTCCTTCGGCAACTGAACTTTAGCTCCAGTTTCTTGCTGAATTGAGCTTAAAATTGAGCGACCTTTGGGACTTTGAAGGAAACGTACAAATTGACGGAATAGGGGAACGTCGAGTTTGTACTGGGTGCGTTGCAGATCCTTGACAAGGCCAGCAAGGTACGCGTAGCACTCATCAACGTCGCGGCGGTCACCGCGGATAGTAATCATGTCAAGATTTTTAGCAGCTAAAGGGAACGAGATGTTCACCTGCAACGGAAAAAATAACAACACTGACAAACTGAATTGTTGCACACAAATATAAACGCAACAATTTTTCCTTAGAGACCTTCCCTTATAGTGTTATGGAGTACGCGCGTACCATAGGTTCTACGCGTGTACATAGTGCAGTTCATAAAAAAGTAATGCCGGTTCTTTCATTAATAAAAACCAGCATTTCACTAGTTCTAGCACGTTGACGATACAACAACACTCAGAACTTACAATACTTCATGAAATATGCATCTGATGGAAAACAAACCTGATTAAACCTCTTTCTAATCTCTGAGATCTTCTCTCCACCTTGCCCGATAATTTGGCCATGCAGACGGCTCTCGCACCTCAATTCACGAGTGTGCTCGTTGCGTAGTTTGTCGATCATTTCCTCGAGTTCCTGCTTTGCCTTGGCCACGTCCTGAGGCTCGCCCTCGATCGTAATCACGTCAGGGTTGGTCTCATCGTTTGCCGACGGAATATGGATTTTCACGTTAAGGTCATTCTTAAGCCGGTTCACATTTGCACCATTCTTGCCTATGATGTGCGGATGATACGACGGAGGAGCGTGTAATTCAACCGAAGTCAATCGCGTCATTATATCATCGATCTCCTCTTGAAGTTGACGACATACCTGATCGACGGAGTCACTAGCACCTTCGATCTTGATCGATTGATCACTAAATTCCACATGAGTATCCTATAAATATGATATATATATATATATATATATATGTAAATATAAACAGGTAAGAAATATTACAATACGGGTAAATAAACATAGAAGACTAAATTTATATATAATAACCAGTTACTAAAGCTACTAATACTACGATACTGAATAGTCTTTCTGCACGAAGAGCTAATACTCTAGACAAAAAAAAATGATATTCCATTGTCGCAGTAGATTATCAACTCGACGGAACTGAGTATAGATTGTTACTTGCCTTATTTTTACGAATTCGATTGATATTCTCGCCCTTCTTGCCAATCAAATGTTTATACAGCCACGTTGGGGCGGAAACCTCGACTTTTTTTGCGCTGTGGGCCTTCTCGAATACAAGAGACAGTGCTTTGCCAAGCTTATTAGTCTCGCCGAACAAGGTAATTGTCTGTGAATCACTCTCCTGAGGTGGAACCTATATCAGTTTTGTGAAAAAAATTCAAGATCACTATTACAGATACGTATCGTACATAAATTTCACTGAACGACATGTTATGCTATGTTTACGATAAGGTAAGGTAAAGTCTATTTTAAGTTAAGTTTTATTGTTTAAATCTTTCAATGCAGTTCTATTTTTAACCACTTATGAAACGCGTGACGTCATAAAGTAAACGTCTCTTCCAAAATGCCTAGGGTATATAACGATAAAATATGGTAAATACTCTCAGGATCGAAGCGCGCTATGAAGAATCCTTAAGAATAGCAAACGTCTGCCGTTACTATAAATTTATACGGCTTATTTCCTTATAACCTTCTTTTCGCTGGAGACTACATTTGCCGGTCTTTCGGAACACCTTAGTAAAAAAATTTTTCCAAAAGACTCGACCGGATAAACACAAGGCAATTCGGGCTAACTGAATACAGACACCTTCCGCACGTTGTGTAATATCCAAAATAAGGTTCCTTGCATTTTTTCTAGCATTTTTTGTAAACTTGTTGCCCTTGGGAGTGCATAACACATATGCCACAATGTCCCAATCGGTGCCTCGCGGTTGCCGAGAAAAAATTCTTCATTGGACCTAGAAAACAATCGTAACTCATTTGTGTATGGCTCTACCCGTCAGAACCAATCAATCGCTTCTAGTTTCACCAGCTAACAAAAAGCATAACTCGAAAACTCGTTTTCCCTTGATTATATCAACTTGCTGATGGGTATCTTCACTAATATGCAATATAGTCATGTTAGCCATTCGACAGTAATGCATTGTAACTATACACAAAAGTAGCACAAGAGATTTTCATCGGTAATAGCATTAGAGTTAACCTAAAATTCGGGCAAAGTAACTTACTTCGATCCAAACGCCGGTCTTTTCGAACATGTCTTGAAGGGTCTGACCACCGCGGCCGAGAATATACTTATGCTGCTCTTTAGGAACCTGGATCAAAACATCAACATAAGGAAACGCAAAAAACATAGTGAAAACCAGAAGATTTAGTGTGCCTTTAATGATAACAAGTCTCGAAACAGTCGCAGCGTACACCATTATTTAGCGTGTATAAGCAAAGTCGTTAATCGCTTATTCATAAATTGTGCCTAACTTCGCCTTTTTAGCGCTCGAGCATTCTATAAAAAAAAAGCATAAAGACATAATAAAAAACCTGTATCGAGGTGTCCTTGATGTTAGCCTTGCACTCCTTATAGAGATTAGCAATCATCTCCTTGGCTTTAGCCACAGCGTCCTTTTCGCCGGCGATCGTAATCTTTTGATCTTCTTTGACCGTTAAAGAAGGTACGCGGATCTGCAAAATGTAAATTTATTATATATCAGTGTTTCCAATCGGTTGATTGTCCTTCTATGGGTAGAATTTAGCCTAGCTTAACCTAACAAAAATCTAAAACGGATTGTCGTAAAAATAAAAAAAAATAAGAAATTTATACGAGCCACTCACATAGTATGTTAGGTCTTAACATACCACGGGAGCTCTTAGATTTTATTTAGAAATGCGCCTACCTTGGCTCCGGTCTGCTGCCGAATGCTTTCGAGTGTTTTACTGTTGGGTCCGTAAATAAACACATGATATTTCTTTTCAACATCAAGTTCCTCGCGATCATTCCTCGCCAAATCATCGGATAAAGCCTGTATCCTAAATGACAAAAATAATGAAAACACGTTATCTCGGAATTAAAACACTCAATGACGATCGATGTGATGTTACTTAGTACGGCGTCACTGTAGTTACTACGACACAAATCGGGCGCTCGGTGTTACAAAGTTATAACTTAGCATTAGATATAATTCACAGCTAAATAGCTACTGATTTATATCATTAGTAGAAAAGCTTTGTTAACACCCACAGTATGCTTCTTGAGCAAAGTACTCGTTTAGAGCAAACGGACTGTACAGAGTGACATCATTGCCACGAAGCATCTACGGGTCTGGAAGGGTAAGATGTTTCCTCAATGAGGCTTCAACGTCATGCAAATATGGCATAACTGTACGAACCTATGAGCAGCTTGTGCGGTACCCTCTTTCGGTCCTTTTATCGAAATGATTTCAGAGTTTTCCTCAGTCCTTGGCACGGTGATCTTTGTACCTGTCTCTTGCTCGAGAGTGCGAAGCTTTTGAGCCTTTACACCAAGGACGTGTCTGTGATGTTCCTTGGGTATAACCATATCTGTTTGCGCCTCGCGTACCAATTCCTTGGTGATTTGCTTCTTGGCCTCTAGTACACTGGATCATAATATTGCAAAGGTTGTTTAAATAATAGTCTTCAAGTGTGTTGAGATCTACTTACCACCACCAGCGATAGGGTTTTGACTCGAAATATCAGAAAGGTAACACTCAACCATTATATTTTACCCCCTTATTATTTGCTATACTTCATATAGGCATATCATTATATATATTTATTACTCTTTAACAACGGCTACAAGAATGAAGTTTTGACAAAGATAAGCATAATAAAACCTTAATTGGCCTGGTTTGTACTACTGTGTTAATATAATTGAGAAATCACTATTAATTTAAATACAATGTTCTATTTAAGGTCAGCAAACGTACCTTTTTGGGTTACCATTAATGACAACGGTGAGACCCCTGTCCATTTTTGAGACGCTAAGTTCGATCGAGGTGTCTGTTTTATTGCCGATGCCGTGCACAACTTTTTTTTCTTGATTCGACACTTGATCGCCATCAACGGTGCCTAAAAACGCAGAACAAACAGTGAATTCCACATCAGTATTATCATTTTTTTTTATTTCTGTAAACAGACGACTTATTTCTTTTTCAATATAAACAAGCGCTTCCAATTTTATAACAAGTAAGCCAATCATCAAAACGAATAAACTCACCTCCAAATTTGGTTGCTGAAGGTGTGTCCTTAAGACGGCGTTCCTCCGAAGCAATCGTAAAAAACTCAGTCTTATTAATGGCACGTAAAGCTGGCAACGATTTGGCCGCAGGCAGCGCGATCATGCCCCATGAGCCCGCAATGCTTTTGGAACCATTGACGGTTGGAGTGGGAGCGCCGTCAAGACAGGAGCCCGGAAGAGCCGGAAAAAGCTCATCGTAGCATTTCCCTATAATTCACAGAGTCCATAATTTCATGTATGCTACACGTACACATTTGCAACGCATGGCTTTTGTACGCAGGCACTCTTAAAAGTAAAGTCATACTAGATTGCATGCTATACTGCATGAGAAGCATGTACAAAAGCAGCGCCAAACGTACTTACCAGGATTTTCCGAAAGTTCGTTGTTGTTATTGTTGGATGAGTCCGTTCCATTGCTTGGGGGTCCATTGGTAAATTGCTCCGGCGAGTTTAGGTTAGGGTTTGGAGGCGGGGAATTATGGGTGTCGGGAACCGTGGTCGCCATCGAGTCCATGGTTATTCGTGTTGCGAGCCGGGCACGGTCAGTCACAGAGCGCGTGCTGCACATGGATTAAAGGAGAAACGACTAACTTCAATCATGCATACGATCCCAGACAACCCGAGAACATGCCGCCATTTTATCTTATTTGGAAGTACACGAAACTACCTTGCTTGTGTTTTCGTCGGCCGCCGTTTTTTACGAAGTTATTCTAAATGCATTTATTAGTTCAAGTATATTCATTGTTAAAAAAAAAGTACTCGCCCTTTGACTCCATACAGGTCTTTGGCGTTTGCAAACGCACAGCGATTTTACTAGCAAGGTCTTTAAAAGCTATATATTGAATTTTCTAGGCTTCCATTAAATCAATGACTCTTGATCAATGATCGTAAGTTATCGCGAACGTGGCTTAAGACTACTCACGATACTCGGACCTGACTCAGCATCAAAACAGAATTACACTTTGTTTTGCTTAGTATTGATGGTTTACATGAAAACTATGAATAGAAGAGTTATCCAATAAACCTCAAACCACTTCGACAGCTACCAATAGCAAAGAGAAGTACCATCATGAAGATCAGCAATAGATTTTCATCATGGTACAGTATGAATCGAGGAAACGAGATAAATAAATATATTTTGTTGTTATTGTACACTATACAAGGCACTTCGTGCGTCATCGACTAACTTAAAAGTTCGATCGCATTTAGAAGTAAATTGTACACGTTTATCTGGAGCTGGGCTATAGCAGGTTAAGATACCTCTGGATTGTTTAAATATTGACTTTACAACAGTCAGGTTGGTGTCGAATAATACACTTTTATAATATAATAATACTAATTATAGGAATATAGTAATATAATAATAATAATAAAATGATTTACCAACTAATACAAATTGTCTATTTTATTAGTCTGGTTGAGTTCTCTCTTATTATCGAAGCCTTTTTTTTCTAAATGACTCGGATTTAAAGATATACAGCACTCTAACAAGACCAGTAACCATAATTGTTTCTACGTCATAAAAACATTAGAACTTCTAGCGCTAATTTATCCTTCTTCCCGAGAATAAAAACAATAGTCATTGTATGTCATTTCACTCACCGCACTGTCCCAAAAATCAATCCGGGTTATTAAAATCGGTTGAAAGCCAATTTTTTCGTGTCGGAGCTGTGATGAGAAGCGAAAAATAAAGAACCGTCAGTGACTATTAAAATATCATAGTATTCAAAGCAAAATAATATATAGGCACATTTCACAAATAATTATAGAGAACAAGCATCATTTCTATATCTTGCCGCCAATTCTTAACCGGAGTTTAATCATTTCTTTTCTTGGGTTTCGTTGAAACGACTAAACGGCGATATAAGGCATCGCCGCTGATCACTGTTTTCCCACAGCCACCTTCGAGTTGGAGACGTTAGGCAACTTACAAAGAAACCAAAATAACTGATACTAGCAGAAACCGCAAAAAATCCGCCCCAGCACCTTTAGAAGTAGTTGGTTTTTCAATAGCACCGCGACGCCATATTTATGGTGACCAAAAATTTGCTATCAATCAGGATGATGCCATACGCGGTTATCATAACCGCCGAAACAATCCGGTCACCCATAGACCAAATGTACGGTATTCGTCGGAATGAACTGATAGACGGTTTACCGAAACGGTAGACTGCAAAACCGCAATGGTAAACCACTGCCAATGAAAGTAATACTTCCGTACTATTTATGAGCACAGCGTGGCAAGCTTTACTCAAAACGCTTTTGGCCTCAAATGAATATTCGACGATGGCGACTTGAATGAAAATTCACAGTAAACGCAAACAATAAATAGACACTACTATATTTCTAACTATTTGATGATGACAACTTGTAAAATCAAGCGAGATCTCTTGGTCATAACTAGTATATGAGCTCGCACAGCTCACCGAAGGCCGCAATTTACCCTTTTCTATTATTGGAGCATGTAATTATATTGCTTTGGTAACTCTAAAGGCCAACTGAAGTTTGCCATCTGAACAACACGATCCGAATCATCACCACATCGCGGAAACCTCGACGCAGTAGTTAGCCCTTGCCTGCTTTAGCCGAGAGAACGAGATTTTGAATGAAACGAAAGCATTATATCGAAATCAGAATGAAACAAAAGTGGCTGAACTCGAACAAATTTCTACAAATCAAATACTCGGGCCTCAAAAAAACATTTATTCGGGTCCATGTTCTGTCAGCGACAATTTCAGTGACTCAAAATGACAACCGCAGAAGGTCGCTCTTCAACAGCTTGACTTCCAAGGTCAAGTACGCTGAGAGCTACCCCTTGTTTATTACTTAGGCTGCGTATAATTAACTGAGCTAAAAACCCTACAAACGGTACTGTCTTCAAGTGAATCAACTTATGACGTTTATGCCAACTTAAATTCTATATTTCATATCAATGGTAATACCTGACGCATTATTTTAGCGATGGATGGGAGAAACGTTTCTAAATATTTACATATTCAAAAAAGGATTTATAACCACATTATATAACTACCGCAAAAAGGTTTTTCGTATATTCCTACTAGTTATTACGAAGCTTTCTAGCTGTATCCCACCAGAGATTCCTCTCCGCGATTGCCGATACGATATCCGTTACAACGCCAGCAGGCTCATCTAAATAATGTACTTTGATCTTAAGACCACAAATCTGAAAGCTCGACATATAGCACCATAGCTACTCAGCAAAAGCTCCGGCAAGGGGTCCATAAAATCAATGCATGCAGTCATACAACTAATTTGCTTTTGTTGCTGTCAAATCTTCCGAGAAGGGCAAATGCGCAGCGAGGGAAAACAAGAGCTAGACAACAGTTTGCAACCCGGAGCGGCAGAAGCTAAATGCAAAACCCCCGTAAGCAAAGCACCGCACTCTGTATCATCATTAGTACATGACGATCGGTGCCTTAGCCTTTATCATTTGCATTCTCCAGAAGATTCGTATAATTAAGTGCTACTGCCGGTGCTGTTCTAGTTGGAAATAGTGACGTCAATCAGGAGGACAGGCAGACGCACGCAAAAAGACCGTAGCGGCAGCAGCAGTAGCAGCAGCAGTTGAAGAAACGGGTCGGTGCAGCCGTGGTAAAAAAAGGACGATGGTCGCCATCATGCGGTTGATGGTATCAGTGCTGCTGCAGGCTATTGTGCGATGCGCCGTTGTCGTCGTGGTCCGTGCGCGAGGGAGGTGGAGGCCCCTTCTGATGACCGCCTCGTCGCTGCCGGGATCATCGGCACTACCACCGCAACAGCCACAGCATTGGCAGCGACTGCAGCGGCAGGGGGCCACGGTGGCAAAGGCCAAAGCGGCGGCGACAGCTTACTGCTGCTACTGCTACTACAGCGACGCAATTCGCCTCGTTTTTTTCTATCATCTCGATCTCTCGCCATTTTCTCCACTCTGTTAGTCGTCGTCACTATTGCTGATTCGGCTGTTAGCCGCTGATTCCTGACTGGCATCACCACGACGTCTCTGGCACCGCATCGCTCGTTAGACTGACGATGCATAGCAGCAACGACTAACGGATAGACGCAATGAAAAACAAACAGCAGGACGACCGGATGACGTAAAGCGCATGCCGTAGACAGCCATAACAGTAATAAGAAGAACGGCAGTAGCAGCAACTTTGTCAGTAATAGAAGTAGACAAAAAAGGAAGTCTAAGATCATCACCTGACGACAACAAAGCGAACCGGCACTAGCAGCAGTTGCATGAAGACAAGTGATTCCAAAAAACATCGATATCAGTTTACCATCATCGGACGTGGCCACGGTAATGCCTAGCACGTCGCGCTAAACTGACCCGGCCACGTAAGCAGTGCTCCCAAGATTGGAACCAGGTAAGAAGAACCAGGTAAAGAGTTACAGAGACCGGATGAAAGAAGGTCCCCTAAATGGGAGATTCTCAAAGATTCGATAGTGCATTACAACACTCGAATACTCCATACGTTTAAATAGGTCCAATCCTGCGCAGTTTTGCATTTCTGCGATTAATCGACTGTAAAACTAGATAATTGGAAGCTCCATAGGACCCCCAGGCGGAGACAAATAGAAACACGGAACAATCCGTTATTTGACATGAATCAAATCAACGAAAAACAGACCGCAGAGAAAAACCGATGGAAAAGAAAGTAGATGGAATCGTCAGCGAACAGTTCACTATTAGTTGGCAGTATTTAGAGACTGAAAACGTACTATCCAAAAGGCTATACCATTTGACGTAAACTGAATATCATATGGCATCATCACAGATCGAACGACATTCTCTCATCAATTCCACCTGCGTCTGACGCTGGCTCAGATGGCACATGAGGCACAGGGCCAGATGCAAGGATACTGAAACACTTGGAAGATCGCTTGGCTAATCGCTTAGGGAATATCGCCTTGAGGTGCCAACAGATAGCCATGGGAATAGTAACACCTCACATCCGCAGAAACAGCGGCAATCACAACAACTAGTTATGTCGGCTAATTGCGACTGCTGCAGCTGCGACGGCACTCCCTCATCTGTACTCGCACTCCGCTACTGGATGACAGAAAGATCAGCAAAAGGGGCATCAGCGGAGTAAAAGCACTACTTCGTGTGCTCTATATGTAACATGGTAATAGTAGAACTCGCCGCCAGCGCGGCGGTCATCATCGTGCCAACGGGTCCGCGATCTTGCTGTTGTAACCGGGTAGTCGTAGCCGAAATGCTACTGTTGATGATGCTGCTGATACTTCTACTCCAGCAGCTTCGGCTACTGTCGCTGTAGTACCTATCTGCTATTGACCGGCGACGATTGCGGTGCAGTGGGCTAGGCCGGCGTGGCAGCGACAATGGTCCTTTCATTCATTTGTTAATGGCTCTTAGGTCAACAGCGGGTCCTTCCGTCTATACAGCTACAGGACTGTAATCACCTGAAGCAATGTCCAAAACGGAAAACTCGAGAACAGACAAGAGACTCAAATCTGGTGGAACTGGCAGCCGGTGACACCCCTCGAGACACGGACACAACTGACTAACCAACAGGCAATACGCACGCAACCAAGCAATATTTTGCATATCCTCTTTGTCCCAAGAAATCGCTGCTACCAACAGGAGCAGTATACAACCCGGAAAAGAACTGCCGAATCGCTAAGACGCTTAAGTACACAGCCACTACGAATCACTTATTCTATTAAGAAACACATAGGCATTTAGTACGAAAATTTCTACTGTACACACTATACAGTTCAGTAATATTTCAGGTAGAACACCACACGAACGCCCGAAGACACGTCCACCTCTTACCAGAGCTCGGAACGAAATAACTGGATAAAGGGTGGCCCCGTGTTGAAATATACCGCCACTCACCCCTTCTTGCTGCGAGGTCGTCGGCAAGTGAACGGTAGAAGCAGCCGTCAACCGTGGGCTAGCATTGAAACGTTAGGGTTAGGGCCAACGCCGAACCAGACAGACCGACAGACAGGCCGACAGACAAACAGACAGATAGGCAGCGCACAACTATTGTTACCAGCCGCGTCCAAATAACGTCGTTGGTTGTCGCCAACCAGTCAGACAGGCCGATAAGCATGTCGTCTGCTAGGAACACACCCCTGTCTGTTTTTCTCGTGGACGATACGGCTGGCGCAAGACGTCCGATGCTCCTATCTATAAATAATGGCATGTGGTGACTTTCACTTCGCTTGTGTTGGCTTCAGCTGTACATGTGCATCATCGTTTGCTTCGCACACGGCGAGTATGTGACAACGAGGACGCGACTGCAAGTCGTTGCCACTATGTTGCGAATGCATGTATGCCCATGTTTACCTTTATGTCTTCGATATTGTGGCGATTCATCTAAAATCGAGCATGGCAGCAGCATGTGAAGAACACCGTGTTCTCGAACAAGGCTAGTTCAAGTTTGAGAAGCCATACGCTCGACAGCTTCACATTGTACACAGTGTCGGCTACCGGCTAGATGCTGAGGAAGAAATAGGCATGAAGGGGTTGGCTGGCTGGCTGGCTGACTGGGAGGCAGTCAGACGGGGTCGGCGGCTTATTTATTATGACAACACCATGGGGCAGACCATCAAGCTGCTGAGCAGGCGATGATCGCCGGTTGCCATCTACCACCGCTACCATAGTGACAGCGGCGACGAAGTAACATCGAAAGCCCGTCCACTGAGGCGTAGCGGATGCTTTGAAATCAGCTGAATAGATAGCGGCTATTGGCCAAGTTGGCACCCAACATGTGGCAGTCAGAGGAGGCCAATCAGGGGTGAACGGAATAACGTGTGACGTCAGATGCCGGCTAGCAGCCCCGTGACTACAAGACGAACGTCTCCTCGCGCTAACAGCGCCGCCGCTGCTGCTGCTTATCTTATTTATCTGTTTTCGTCGCCTAATAGAACTAGTGTTGAAATGGTGTTACTTTCCTACCTTTTCTATCTATATTGCCAACATATTCGCATTCTATGGGACTGATAGTATTAAGTAATATATTCTGGTGGCGAATCGTTCCGTCATACAGGTTTGATGAAGCAGCCCCCTCTGTACAGAGATATGAACGGACAAAATACACTGCATTCTCGTACATCTAAATAATGTTGTCCATGTATTTTTTTAATCACGTTAGTGTGCCCAGATCACTCTAGAATAATGATCCGGCCTCGAAATTTCTTTAGACCATGAGTTTTGGGGACTGGAATATTCTTAGCTACAGTAGAGAAACACATCTCTTAAGCAAAAATAATGCGCCCGTTAAGCTTCAATTAAATGATTTTCTTTCCTCGAAACCACACATATACGATGCACATACACACAAGTACAACTGCAGTAAAAAGGACATTATTAACGTGTTGTAAGGGTACCGTATAACTATTTCAAATCCGAGATCTCTCTAAAATTTTACGAAATCGATTTAGTCAATTTATCAACATACACCAACTGTATGTGTTCTACTTGAAAGAGACAGGGTAATAAAAAAGATTAGTGACACATACAGCTGAGGCTCTTTGTTCTTATCTAACAACTGCACAAATGAGAATATTATATTGCAGACCGTTTGAGCTTGAAGTACAAGTTCATGTTATACAAAATATGCTGGCGATACATAAATCGTGAAATAGGGTAGAGGCGCCGCATTAAGTATTCCTAAAGCTGCTACAACTGAAGCATAAAATGAATTATGGCATTGAAATATTATAGTTCCAATTGTCTTCAGCGGCTGGAAACTCAAAGCGTAACTATGGCATAACGCACGACCGACATGATTCAAGGGCTTGTAATAGGGTCTGATGCCTGGTTATAAGTGTCTGTTGAAACACAGCTCATACAGCGTACGTATACGGCGCACATCTTTTTTTTTTTAATTTTAGTTTATTGGTGCTCCACGTGTCTCGCGCCCTAAAAAAAGCTCCGGTGCCACGCTGTATTATAGGCAACTATGTACAAAAAGGATTAAAAATTCTTATTACAGGTTGCCGGTTAAAATTTATACGACGAAAAAAAGACCGAACGATCCTTCAACCAAGACGGTCATTTCGGAATTGACTATTGTTATTTTTTTGAAGAAAACGTGCTATACAGCCAAATTGACCTGTTTAGGATTAAGTCAAATCGCTTGCTCAAAGAGCCTTAACCATAACGACAGGCAACTCGTCCACTGGGAAATTGGTCCTTATATGGGTATTAGCTGAACCAAAAGGCTTACGAACAAGTCGCAAAATTAGAAATAATACCGATAGTAATCGACACAAGGGCAAGGATCACCGCAGCTTACACATAATGTAGAAAAGTCAACAAGGGTTTGAGGATTCCCTTCTAAGAATTGGTCTTTCAAGAAAAAAGAAAAGAGTTGTCATCATCTAATTTCACGTGTAAACAAAGATCATCCATGAGCGTGTCTCGTTCTTCTTTAGATAAAGCGATAAGTAAAAATGTAGGCATCTGCGTTTGCTATATATGACCTATATTTACGCATTACGAATGAGCATACCTAGGCAAGAGAGGCTAGCTATAGATTCCTATATCTATGCAGTCACCTCTTTCTGTGTCAGTATTATCTTATATAATAGTGTTGATATGACGTAGTAACTTATACAACGACGGATGGTCAGAAATACACTGGATCTCCCGATATAGATTTTTTTGAAATTGGCGATGCTTTAATCCATTGTTATCACACAGTAGTTAATAAAAATATTATATATATA